ACCAGTGCGTGTAAGCTGCGTGGAATTATTACGTAGTGACGATGACTTGTAGTGCGGGTCAAGCTTATAGCACAGTACCAGCGGGACGTGCGTCCTTAATAGTACTTGCAATTTATCGTAGGATTATTTTAAATATTTATTTTATATCATATTTCATATGCGCTTTAAAGCATTTTATGGTAGGAATCGGAACTAATTGAATGAGGATTTGGTGTTTTTTGTTGCTTTGAATTGCAAATTTTACCTAGAAGGCTGTAAGTAGCTGTTAAAAGTGATAAAATATTTTAGAGTAGAATGGGGAGTTTCATTATTGCTGTTTTCATACCACATGTATATGACGTAAACTTCTACGCCGACCAATAGGAATCATTTCACAATCACTTTGACGCACATTTTTGATGCTTTCCTTTTCTAAGCTCTGAAGATTAAGTAATAAAGACGACACTCGTCATTCGTTTTTTGTACCTTGTTCGTTTACCGCGCCGTCTAACATAACAATGCGACAGTGCCAAACTGACTATGATATACGGTAGCTCAGTTCATCAGTATTTTGTCGTGCTATACAATAGGGGTATCATCTGCAGAAAAGGTGAACCTTCCAATAATGTTTACCATAGAGAGAAACTAGAACATGGCATCATGGGTCCCCTTTGCATTTAGGAAACCAAACTGGTAGAGGGTAATTAAATTGAGTCTATGGAGATGGGTAAGCAGTCTCTTCACAATTTTCTAGGAAACCTTGGAAAGCGTAGGCAAAAGCGATATGGGTAGGAAGTTAGAAGTATAGTGTGAAGATCACCTGTGTAATGGGATAACGAGGGCTTCCTTCAAACATGCTGGAAACTGACCACTGCTCCACGAGCTGGTTATGGAGAAGGCCAGTACATTCGGCAAACGAAGAAGTACCTCAAGCGAGATTCCGTCATCTTCAGAAGCCTTATTTTTTCGGATGTCACTCAAAGTCTGTTGACTTCGTAAAAATCGGTGAGAAAAAAATTGAAAAAATCACGTAGAGAGAAACCATTCAAAAACAAAAGTTGGTCATGAGCGGGATGCAGTTTTTCATGGATGATAGCAACGCAATGTTGCAGTAAAAGTTAGTCTGGATCATCATCACCATAATAAATAAACGGTTCTATTAAGTTCTATAGTTCTTTTCTAATCATGAAGGTTATCTCACGTTTAGTCCACCATTCCTGTATTTTGATTTCTTTGAAGAGAATGTGGATATTTTATCCAGCTCTGAATAGTATGAAGCGTTATCCATAACTACCACGCATTTCTCTTCAGATTTACATAATACAGGAATAATTCGATAAACAACAACCCATTTTTGAAATAAGTCCGTAGTCGCGGTCATTGTTTGTCTAAAAAAAAAGTCGGACTTCCGGAGATTGACAATGTCTTGACCCTGGTCTTGTCAGTATTATAAGAGGGTGAATGCTTCAAATGGCTTCAAATTTCCAAGGAGGACCATATGCAAAATGAAATGGAACGAAAAATAGTGACAAGTTGATGTCACAATTTTGGAAAACGAGTCACATTGGCGTTCGTCTACTTGGAAATTAAATAAAATTGATACATTTCCATTTTGATACGAATCTTTCAAACGGCATGAAACATAGAAAATCCTGGGCTGGGATCACGATAAGTAGCATACCTACTAGCAATTTACGCAAGTGTGTGAAGTAACTTACCAGAAAAATACTAAATTGACCTTAGATTATGTGCTGAATTACAGAAGCTCTGCAACAGCAAGATACAAATGCAGGACCTGCAAGTCTGACTTTTTGTATCACAGAAGCAGAATGCATTTGCAAGTCGCTGCAAATTTGCGCATGGCCAAACGTTCCCGTAAGTTTTTGCAGTCACTTTGACAACTTTGACATTTCGAACTGGTAAATCAGTAGCGCCCAAACACTTTTTTCGATAAATATGACGGACTTGTGGGTTTTTTTCTGTAATTTGCTCGCTCCTGCAAATGGAGCACATATGCAAGTCGGCCATATTTGCAGAACTGCAATTTTGCAGATGCAAATATACTGTAATTGGGCCCTATATATAGTTAGCACTGAAAGATGAGTAATCAACTCCCAAATATGGTACAAAGATCTCTCTCCAAATATTTTGATTTTGTCTCTCTTACTTTGTTTACGCTGGTTTTCTATAGTACGATTTCCAAAAATCCGTTTAGATTTTGGATCTTTAGACATCTCTCTCTAAGGCGATATATAAACGAAAAGAACACTATACAAGTCTAGCTAAACAGAGTATATTGTTTGGGTTCCCAATAGAAACCGATTGCCGTACCAGCCATAGAGACCAGCGTAAATCTCAATATATATTATTGTGTGTTTTTTTCATCGACTTTTTTGGGTATTGCACTGCTTTAAAGTGGACTTGTTTAAAAATTTATCATTTACATGTTTATACATTTCGTAAAAGTTTCTTATTCAGGATTCAAAATGACTAATAAGTGTGCAGTGTGTCAGAAAAGAGGAAAACCAGGGGATTGTTTATCATTTCACTGGTTAGTAAACAAAACTTATGACATTGACATGATTGAAGGGAAAAAAATACAGTGTCGGAGGTGCATGTAGGCCACAAAAATACAACATGGTATAGTATTTTTAATACCTATTTAGAAGTACCTGTCGTTCTAGTGACAAAACGTATGTCGCTTCTTGACACACAAATAAAATTAGGTTAGGAATTTCCTATTTGTAGATGAAATTGACGTCTTAGCAATCGACGTTCGTTTTTGTTAGTAATTTTTTGTTTCATCTGATTCGTGATTGATAAATAAGGATGAGGTTATTCTAAATGGGTATTAAAAATACTATACATAAATTCTGTTTTTTATTTAAAGATAATTCCCCAAGTCAAAAATTTAGTAACTATGTTGGCAACACAAGCCCTTTCTACATAAAAAATTTGAAAACATTGACAATTTTACATTGTATTGCCAACATTATGTCATTTTGACTTTTATCTTTAAAAAAAAAACAGATTTTATTTTAATTTTGTATTTCTATTAAACAATATTTTTAAGTATTCTGGATAATTTATGATATGATATGGTTAGGAGCATTAAATTTAAAATCCAGCTCAGTAAGCAAATGGACGTATGTTTGTGCAGTGGAGACTACAGATTTTCAAAAACTGGTGCTAAAATTTTAAAAGCCTCTGCTGTTCCTATTGTTGCAAGCACCGGCGCTTCTCGAGTACTGTCCAGGTTAAAGGGTACTTTGTCGAAGTAATCTTTCATAGGTTTATGTAAAAAAATCATTAATTTTGATTTTTGAAGAATATATATTCCTGATTTGTTTGGACTACTCAATTAGGAATTAATCGTACTGGAACTATCTTCAATGGTGGTGTTATGTCCACCATTCAATTGAATAAAACTAGAAGTTTGCCATCTTTCAAATAAGGATAAAGTTCGGCTCAATTTGAAACTTGTCTGGACCAAGAAATTAATTTTCATTTGAATTAATTTATCAACAAATTTATAAAAAATCAACAAATGAACCAAATTATTGGTTGGCCAAGTAGTGGTTTGGTCTGCCTCTACTTTGACTACTAAACAGTGGTTAGTATACTAAGTTTGAATCATATATAGCGTCCTTAATAGTGACAATATCACTCTGATGCTATCTATAGTCAACTTTAAAAATATAGGTAGATACTCATAGTCATAGTATTTTTCGTAAGTATTTAATAGTCACTTGAAAGTTCAGTGCATTATATTTTCAGTATTTGTATCATTGATCAGTTTGCTATAAGTATATTTTTGTTATCAGTAGGTACCTACCTCAACTCTTGTAATATTATTATTAATATTCTGAATAAACATTGTTTTTTTTTTTGGCATTGTTGTTAAATTATTACAAAGCTACACTTTTTACTTAGATACAAATCCCCAAAAAATGAAGAAAAAAAAATCTAACATATTAGGTCTGTTTCTGCAGAAATCACAAACCAAACCAGTCAGAGTGAATTTCATTGGTTGAAACTAGTTTTATGACTGCTTCTGACTGTTTTCAACCAATGAAATTCGCTCTGACTGGATTGTGATTTCTGCAGAAACAGACCTATAGTTCTGGTCCCATCTCATGTATTTTTTTTTAGAAACAGTTCAGTTGCTTTCAGTTTTAGGCTCAAATTTATCATTTTTAAAACTAGGTACCTTTCTGGAATTAAATATATATTTCAAAATTGATTTCTTATGGGTACGCCTATGGGAACCTTTGCTTCTAATGAAATGCCTCTACGTATTACTTGGGAATACGTAGAGATTCTTAACACATGTTTGTGCCACCTTGCTCCAATGCTTTTAGATAGGGCGTTACCTATCTTGTCACGTTAGTAGATGTAATCTATGAAAATGACAGTGCCGATACCTGTTATTGACATTACTTTACGTAGGTACTATAGTGCCGCGTGAAGTGAAATTTTAAGTCTTCTGATTAGTGCGTAAAGTGAGTATTTTACGCACGGTAGTAAAAAATAGTTATTTATGCAACAAGTGTGTAAAGTGAATCTTTTTTCACGAATGTGAATTTTGACGCACGAGCCGAAGGCGAGAGCGACAATCACATGAGTGAAAAAAGGTGCTTTACGCACGTATTGCATACAAAATTTTTTCTACTACCGATCAAATATGTGCAAAAAATTTAATTTAGAGAAATACTTTACGCACTAGTGCGTGAGGTAATTTACCAGAAAAATGCCAAATTAACAGTGTTGACATCTGTCATTGACATTACTTTACGCACTAGTGTGTGAAGTGATATTTTACGTCTTCTAAATAGTGCGTAAAGTGAGTACTTTACGCACGGTAGTAGAAAAAGACATTTTTCTAGCCAGTATTTTCTGTATTAAATTTGAATTGCCGACATTCGTGGTGTCATCTATCACCGATTCACTAAAACTCCACACAAATAAGGTATCTGTTTCGTAAAATCCATAGGTTAAATCCCACTTTTAAGCGCAAGCGTCCAAATTCAATTTGAAATGGATTTTCCTTACGCATTTAATTTACTGTTTGACGTAATAATCGCGCGGATAGTCAGCTGCAAGTTATTTTTAAACTGTTTTATAACAAAAACCGTTTTGCACTAGAAGGTTGTCAGTAGAAAAAATGCCAAATATTATTAACGAAATCAAGTTGGACTTTAAGGATGTGCTGTTGAGACCTAAAAGATCGACTTTGAGGAGTCGTAATGATGTAAGTTTATTGATTTTTAATCAGTTTCCCAAAAATAATAGTTGATAATTATTATTCTTAGATTTAAAAAAAATTAAATTAAACAATTCGTATAATTATTAAAAGTTTATCAAGATAAATCATATTCCCGTCACAAATAACAGCTCCTTCCTAATTAGTCTAGACCACAAATTGTGGAGGAATCAATTAATGAAGTCCAGCCAATTTTATTATAAAAACCGCTTCAAGCTAGATAAAATATCAATATAGGTACCAAAAATGAATTTGAAAAAAAAATACAAATATCAATTCTTTATTTAATGTAAATATATTCTTTTCAGGTAAATCTCCATCGTCACATAACGTTCAGGAACTCGAAACAGACCTACAATGGAATTCCCGTTATGGCCTCAAATATGGACACAGTGGGCACTTTTGAAATGGCCAAAGTCCTCTCGAAGGTAAAAAATTGCGTAATTTCTGCAACAATTTCCTAGACAAGCGAGCAAACAAAAAAACTCGATGACTATACAATCATAATCTGGGTCAATCGCAAATAATGTGAAGTTTTTGCTTATCTTTTCACAATTTACGCTTCTATGCCTTCTATAAGCATAATTGTCAAGTTTTGTTTGATTATGATTGATAAACTTATCTAATAATGGGATATAATAGTCCCATTAATTTTTTTATATGTTCAAGACAGTCTATGGGTCGGATTTATAGTCGTTCCTTGGAGGCCGTGAGTTTAGAATGGACACTTATATGTTACTGTGTAATGGACAAATTGAAGTTAGTCATATAAATTCTAAACGTTCAAGGTATCCTAGGTTGAGGAAACCTCAAGGAGCGACTATGAATTCGGCCCTAAAATATCTAACTAAATGGCGTGTCATTAGTTTAAACTTTAAACCGAGAACATCTTCCACTTCAGAAAATGTTCCTTCAATATGTTTATACTAAATTGTTCCAATCTGTTACGCACATGACATGAAAGTTATAATAACTTTATTTGTTAATGATTTGATCCTGAAACTCCAAAGATGTGTATACAATTTACTTCGCAGCCAATTTCATACTATTGAAAATTTCACAGGCAATTTAATAATTGTCTACGTAAAGAAATTTATTGGCTTGAAAAACTGAATTGAAGTGATTCAAAACATCGACAAAATTATTTGTGGCAGTGTCTAAATAGCTGATGAAATTTTGTATGTTATACACTTGGTGATCGAATACATATCACTGTTTCGGCTGGAATTCTGTAACGGATATAGAGATCGTTATCCCTATATCGCTATGTCACTTATTGTTGTCTTCTTTTCTCTTGTCGAAATCAATAGAGAGGAGACGTGTATAGAGATAGAAAAAATATCTCTATCCGGTACAGAGGCCCACTCCCAACCCTGGTGCCTAATTTTCATATAAAAGTTTGCATGAAACTGAGGACAAGGGACAATTAATAAGGCACTTATTAGGAAGGTTTTGAGAATCATGCGCCAGGCCTATTGACCAATCGTATTATTTTACGTCATTGAACAGGTGCTATTGTTGGCATCACACTTGTCTGATTTTTGTTTAGCAAATTTCTTCATTACCTACTATAAGGATTTTTTAGCGACTGACCGTTTGTAACCGTGTTACAAACGGTAACTGAAATTAGGCCTTTCCGGAAACGCTTACATCTGATTATCCCGATCACATGCACTGTTCGTTTTTTGTCTTTCTTTAATGGACACGATTGAAAAAAGACATCGTACATCAGCTGGTGATCCGATTAATAGGATCAGCGTTTTTGAAAAGGCCAAATTTCTGTTACCATTTATAACACGGTTACAAACGGTTAGTCGCTAAAAAATCCTTTTTATAACGATACAACGTTTATTGAAATAATGGGCACATTACAAAATTCACTTATCACCTATCGCTTTCATTTAACTTTATACAAGCACATTCTCTCATCTCATTTGAACTGACTGACTAAACTTACAATATACACGCTTTATATACAAAACCATTTAATGGCTAAATTTCTAGAATCACGACTTGTTCATTTAAATCACACAATAGAACCAGAACGTATTGATCTGAACATTTGGCTAACCGGTCCCTGATCCTATTTATTCATTGACGGAGTGTATAAAGTCCTAATCTAAAATAAATGTGAATTAGTCATTTGTATTTTTAGCACGATTTGTTCACTTGCGTGCACAAATACTATACTGCGGACGAATGGAAAAAATTCGCCGAACAAAACCCCGACGTCCTAAGAAACGTTGCGGCAAGTTCGGGAATGTCCGAAAACGATTTCAACCGATTAGCCGAAATCATCAAAGCCGTGCCTGGAATTTTGTTCATTTGTCTCGACGTCGCCAACGGCTACTCGCAACATTTTGTCGACTTTGTGCGCAGAGTCAGAGCCGCTTTTCCCTCGCACACAATCATTGTAAGTATACTTTTTTCCTGGGAAAACTGTTACAATACTGTTTTTTTTTTTCTCATCAGGCTGGCAACGTTGTAACAGGAGAAATGGTCGAAGAACTAATTCTATCAGGAGCTGACATAATCAAAGTTGGCATCGGACCGGGTTCAGTCTGCACTACAAGGATGAAAACGGGAGTAGGCTATCCGCAACTGTCAGCTGTCATTGAATGCGCAGATGCGGCTCATGGCCTACAGGGGCACATCATTTCGGTAAGGATATTTCTATCCTTTGTCATTAACAATTAACATGTTACTAGAAAAAGATACAAACAATGTACATTGAACATTACAAACACGCTCGAGATTGAAATTCTTTTAGGATGGCGGTTGTACTTGTCCAGGCGACGTTGCGAAAGCTTTCGGAGCCGGTGCCGATTTCGTAATGGCCGGCGGTATGTTTGCCGGCCACGACCAGTGCGAGGGGGAAGTAATCGAAAAAAATGGCAAAAAGTTCAAATTATTCTATGGTATGAGCTCGAGCACTGCCATGCAGAAGCACGCGGGCGGCGTTGCCGAATATCGTTCGTCAGAGGGTAAGACTGTGGAGGTTGCTTACAAAGGGGACGTCCAGGATACGGTTTTGGACGTTTTGGGAGGCTTGAGGAGCGCTTGCACTTACACCGGAGCTGGGAAGCTGAAGGAGTTGCCTAGGAGAGCCACGTTCGTCAGGTGCACTCAGCAACTGAACACGATTTATAGCTAAACTGGCATTAGAATCTCAAGGATTTTAACAGTATTACAAAAAAAACGCCATTTTTAACATCTATTTTTGAAAATGTTTTACTATAGTATTTCGCTTGCATGTATTTTTTTATAATTTATTTTTGGCTTTTATTTACAGGAAACGTCGGCACGTACAAGTATTTCTACAATTATCGAATTGTGCCTTATTTCGGTTTTATCTTCTGTAAAAGTTTATTGTTGATAGACTGTGGTGTATTCACAAAAATAAAGTTGTTATTGAGTTTAATTTCGATTGTCTTTAATTTATTGTAATAGTGGCTGGGTCCCAAGGATGCTGGGTTCCAAGGATCATACACACTATTACTACAGGATGGCCTATCCTCATAAGGCCTGTGTGTAACAAATCCCCCCCTTCTCCCCACCTAGCCAAAATTCCAGTTGTGACGTAGGCAGCATGTTATTTCTCGCCTTGACGTAGGCTGTTTAAACAGCTGACGACTTGGTTATGAAGTCGGAAATGGTACACTCCTTAAGAGTGTGTATTCTCGTTGGCTGGGTTCGGCTATTGCATCTGCGAGCAAAATGAACAAAATTTGACAGATGTCATGTGATTTGACACGTGAAAAAAGATAAATGATCACGTGGCGTCCGTCAAAATTTGCTCTTTTTGCTCGCAGATGCAATTACCGAACCCAGCAAGTATATGGGGAGATTGACACTATTTTGGCGAACATCTGAGTTGTCATTGATTTTATATAAATAATACAAATTCCCACGTTTGAGGCACCATTTCAAATATGACATCATTCGCTCCAACAAGCAATTATGACACTGCATGCAGTTTAGTATAGGGTAGACCCACCAATTTTAGATATTTTTACTTTTCCGCACTAGTAGTACTTTCTTTCATGGCCCAAAATGCGTGCGGAAATGTGTGGTATAGTCCAACAAATACCTTTTTAAAGTCACGTGATTTTTCTCTATCCTTGTTGAATACATCTCAAACAGCGGTGATAGTAAAATTGACAAAAAAATTGCTGTCTAATTATTGTTCATAATATTCTTACCTGAAATAGAATCCGTCACTGGCATCAATTAGTTTGTCAAAGTTATTTTCGAAAGTAATACAACGAACAAACACAGCTAATAATTTTGACTATATTAACCTTTTTCCAACTCGAAAAGAAGCAAATAGAAAATGGGTACTCAGTTTAAGTTCAGAATGTATTACAACAGACAGCACATGCAACAAAAGTGAGTCTCGCAACAATTGCAAGTATTAAAATTGCCCTCTGATTGGTCAATACTACTTCAGAAACGCGTTTGTAAAATGCTAGTGGGAACATATATTAAAATTCAATAGTAATTAACCACCAGTAGCTTTTTGTAGGTGATATCAACGACATAATCAATGGACATACGTTTTTTGCCACCAGTATCACGTGACTTTAAAATGGTATTTGTCGGACTATATCACGATATTTTTGCGCTCTGTCAAACTTGAATATGTTCGACTCCTGTCACTATTCTCGACCAATAGAAAATTTTCCACAAAATAAAAATCCTACTAGGCTTTCAAGGATATTATACACTACATAGGATAGCATATCCTAAAGCATAAAGCCTCCCACCACGCCAAACTACCAGTGATGACGTAGGTGTCGTTTTTCGCCTTGACGTACCTACACTGTTCGCACCCACTACATGCTATGACTCTGCTGACTTTTGCTTTATGCATACTTTGATTTAGTACATTTTAATATTCTAAAACAACCTTTTTCAAATCTCGCTTGCATCTTCCTCTTCGGGCCGGTTTCTCAAGTCACCCCCGTTAAGCATAACTCCTGGTTAAATATTGCAAATGGACACGTTAACTCTGGAGTTAAAACCAACCCGGGGGTGACTCGCTATTGAGACGGCCCTTTGCCTATTATGTTATTAAAAAATAAATATGTAATACTTTTTATCCTAATGGGTTTCAGTGGACTATCCGGATACAAAAACGAGAGGTTTTACAGTGACGATTATTACTGAAAACGATAATTTGGCAATAGGGAACAATCATATTTAAAAAAAAATAAAAATTCTTATTGCTTATGTTTTCAAATATGAAATACATATGTTTTCTTTTCTATTATGTCCTCATTAAAATAAAAAGAATTTATAAAATTTCAAATTATTTCCGTTGGCGCGAAAACGATTACCTTCAAGATGTCGGTACTTGTGACGTCAACTGTTTGTAAATACAACGTTAAGGTCTGTCCTCACAAGAGTCCCTGACACTGCAAACTGTCAGAAAAAATCGCTCGTATAATCGACTGCATTAAATCTTTGCATGGAATGTGGTTTTTACGTGGTGTTTCTGTATTTGGCGTATTAGGCAATTCAATCCATCTGTCAAAACGGAAAATTCAATGTGACGTGGCGGCCAAGCAAGTTTGTTTTGAATATGTTTTTATGCGTATTTTAAATTATTTTGCATACAGTTTTGCTTACAACTTTGATTTTCATTATTTAATAAAATATTTGTTGACTAGGTACCTGAACTATCAATTCCGGCAGAAACTAGATATTTTTTTGTGTTTTTTGGCCCATGTGTGGCCGCGACGCCATCTTGAATGTCACGTGGTTTGAATTGCCTAATTGTGACATTTTGTGTTTCAAGTTTGTCATGATTGATACAGGATTTACAGAAGCGCAGTCTGACAATCCCTCTATAGACCCATTTATGGTGATTCAATATCAGTCGTGACATGACGTAAGCTGATCGTGGACCAATCGTTCTTCAGGACCCAAGAGTGAACCATGGAAGCGTAGACCACGTTCGTTACTCACGGTCAGTGTAAACTACCCTTAACCTTGGTTTATGAACAGTTGACGTCACCAAAAGCGGCCATGTTAAACGTAGCTTTTCCGTGCGAAACCTTTCAATTTAAAACTATTGATTGCTGTATGACTATAATATCGATAAATTTAATGCGAAACTGCTCATATTCAGTATTTTACCGAAAAATGTACACCATAGAAACAAAATGAACCATATTTATTTATATGAGAATTCCCTATTCTAAAATATATTTGGGTACGGAAAACTCAGAAAATTTCATTTTTTTCAATAAAAAATCTTTTTAACATTTGTGTATGCAGGTTGGCTATGGTTAGTTCATTGACTGTGTCACGCGAAGCCGCTCGCTGGTAGGGTTGTCACTATCATATTGAATGAGCTCGTGAACAGGTTAGTTATAGTCTGGGAGACGACCGCATTTTTCCTACCCCGGTCGAGTTATGTGTCGACACTATTATCAATATATAGTATTATGTGCATCTATTAACCTGTATTCCTGCCTGAGAGCAAATGCTGCCGGAAATATCTTTTAACAAATTATTAACAAATTGAAAAAAACGTGACACTACCCCCATCGAGTTATGCCCCAAGTAGGGTATCAGATTGAAGGTCTCGATGTCCCCTATCTAAAAAGTCGATCCTGCCTCGTGAGAACTTGCCGGAAAAGGGTGGCAGGACAGCTTATTGGGGCAAGGGCCCTCGGTCTCTGCTTTGACACCTATCAAGCTTTGCACTAAATGATGTGTCAAATTAAAGGTGTCAATAAGTTAATTTAAGGTCTGTTCGCACAGAAATCATAAACCAGTCAGAGCGAATTTCATTGGTTGGAAACAGTCAGGAAACTAGTTTCAACCAATGAAATTCACTCCTTCTGGTTTGGAATTTCTGTGCGAAGAGACGTTAAATCAACTTATTGACACCCAGGGATGTGCGTCTACACGTAGACTTTCATTGTCTACTTTACGTGTAGACAATGTAGACAATGTAGACAACGCGTCAACAATGTAATATAATATAAATGACGTTTAATTCTAACCTCACACCTTCCTTTTCGAAAATTATTTTTATTTTATTATCGGTTTTCCTCATATTTATAATCAGTGAATGCTAATATCAAAGTGATAGGTATAAGCTACTTAGGTAGTAGTAATTTTGGAACTTTTTTTAAAATTTTCTAAATAAGTTTATTGTTTACGTCACATGTAGACAATGTGTAGACAAATGCCCACGTAAACAATTCGAATTGTCTACACGTAGACAATCAACTGTTTACGTTGACATTGTCTACAGGCACATCACTGTTGACACCTTTAATTTGACAAATCATTCAGTGCAAAACAGAGGACCCGTATCACGAACACACGATTCGATCGTATCGTCCATTTAAATTACATGGACGATACTATCGAATTGTGAGTTCGTGATCCGGGGGCAGAATACATATCCTCACGGATAGAAGGCAAACTGCCTAATAAAATGTTGGGGAACAATGCGCTGTGGATGCGATCCGAACTATTTATAATATAGGTTTCTGTAATCAAATAAACTGTCAAAATAGTTCACCCAATGTCAATTTTTTCAATATTAATTTTTCCCAATGATTTTTCCTCATTATAGTCGAATTCGATTCGACGGCTTCTACTTCCGACCGAGTAGAGCAAAAACGGCCAAAACTTCTTGTGTTTGTGTCCCGCGTGTGGCTAAATTCACCAAAATGTTGCACCGCCGCGGATGCGGTGATTACGATTCACTAATGCCAATGCCCAGTAGTTTGGCAAAAAAACACCAGCTGAATTTAGCCACTCGCGGGTTTTGTGTAAGATCTGATTTTTTTTTTGAATTCATTAAACATTTTTCTGGATTTAAAATGCACACCAACAACAAGACAAATTCTCATTCAGAATTATTTTGACATATTTTTTTGACACATAGGTAACAGCATTGTTACAGGTAAACGAGGTAAATTAAATCTCATTGGGTAGACTGCAAAAGTAAACAATGACTTGTATATTTTCTGATGGCCTTCATTCCGTACCTGTAATTGTGTTTTACTCCAGCGTCCCCAAGCGGATGCGATCCGAAGCTTTTTTTTTAGGCCCCGCCCTCCATTAAGCTTTTTTTTCTATCCGTGAGGATATGTGTTCTGTGGTGCAAAACTTGATAGGTGTCAAAGCTGAAACCGCGGGCCCTTGCCCCAATAAGCTGTCCTGCCACCCTTTTCCGGCAAGTTCTCACGAGGCAGGATCGACTTTTTAGATAGGGGACATCGAGACCTTCAATCTGATACCCTACTTAGGGCATAACTCGATGGGGGTAGTGTCACGTTTTTTTCCATTTGTTAATAATTTGTTAAAAGATATTTCCGGCAGCATTTGCTCTCAGGCAGGAATACAGGTTAATAGATGCACATAATACTATATATTGATAATAGTGTCGACACATAACTCGATCGGGGTAGGAAAAATGCGGTCGTCTCCCTAACTATTACCATATTTTTGGTTAATTTCATTACTGGTGTACTGGTTAATAACAAAGCGCACTTGTTTTCTAAATTCAATATTAATATACAAGGACTAGTACGCATTACGTGGACGGGTTAGTTTGTGTTAGTTTGCATACTTTTCGTATGTTTCGTTACAGTTCGTATAATACTGGTCATAAGTGTACAGGAACATTTACCACTTCTAACTTCAAGTTAAATTTGACGTTTGATATTTTATCATTTACATTGCAGAGCAAAAACGTCAAGTTAAAACGTCAGAATTTTATGAGAATCATATGAATAATCTAAAAATTTGACATTTCACAAATTTCTGCTTGTCCTCGGCAAGCAGCTCGCCCAAATTTAAAGTGCACTTCGAAGTGAACTTCAAATTTATTTCAATGTAAAGGAGCATTTACATTCACTTCTAACTTCAAGTTAAATTTGACGTTCGATATTTTATCATTTACATTAGTCCTTTTCACGTGGCTCCGGTTTAACTAACCGGGTTACAAAACGGTTAGAGAAATGACATACCGTTTTCTAACCCGGTTACAAAGTGACGTGATGGATACCTACCACTCGAATTTGAGCGGTATGTTGCGGTTTGTTAAACTGGAGCCACGTGAAAAGGGTTATTGCAGAACATAAACGTCAAGTCAAAACGTCAGAATTTAATGAGAATCGGATGGATAATCTAAAAATTTGACATTTCACAAATTTCTGCTTGCCTTCGGCAGGCAGCTCGCCCAAATTTAAAGTGCACTTCGAAGTGAATTTCAAATTTATTTCAATGTAAATGGATCTGTGCTGCCGCGCCATATGACAAGCACGTCAATTTCAAGACAAGAACTTCGAAGTGAATGTAAATGCACCATACTGGTTAAAAGCAAAGCGCGCTTGTGTTTCTAAATTCAATATTACCTTACCATACAAGGACTAGTATGCATTACGCGTGGATGGGGTTAGTTTGCATACCCATTTTTGACTGGTTTCGTTACAGTCCGTTTCACTGGTTATAAGTGTACTGGTTAATTCAGTAGAAAGATACTGACTTCAGATTCGTGATCAGCGACTAAAAGGCAAAAATATACCTTTGTGCAAAAAATTAACGAAATCAGAGTATATTAATAATAGACCAAGACCTGATGATGGATATTTCGGAAACGAAATGCGACCGACAAAAACGGATTTCGGATTTGTGATTAGCAATGAAAAATATACCTTCCTACAAAAAATCATCAAATTCAGAGAGGGAACCGGATAAAAGATAGGGAATTACCAAATTTCTTTGTATTCTCAGATTTTTTGTTGGATTTGTCAACATTGCAAACATAAGATACCACTCATCACATTTTTTTGTGTTTTTTAAATTTTCTATATGAAGTGTCAACTTTAGACTTTAGGTTTAAATAAATATATCAAAATCGTGTTTCCGGATAGTCGAGTAGTCGACCGGACCCCGGACTAATGTATATTCTAAACTACGACCGCTGGTGCAAACTGCTATCCCACTGCTATCCAAGGAGAATATACACTTTAAGGAGTGCTCGTTTTTGGTAATCGCCGCCAAATTGGTGTGCCACCATTGCCGACGTCATAACTGAGTCGTCAGGGTTGCGTTTAGAAATAGCACTCTGGGTGTGAGAGTGACCCTAGAGTAACTCTAAACCGTTCATAAATTAACAGGTGCTTACTCGGAGCGTTACGCTGGAATCGTTCAGAAATCTAGAGTTGACGTACCTAGAGTGCGCCCAAATTACCCCACAAGGGACTGGGTTGAAAAACGACCCGCGGTTTTCACCGAGTTTAAAGTGGACATTTACCACAACGCCCCAATACGTTGAAACGTTCAGATATAGCGCACCCAGAGTGCACTCCACATGATGACGTCAGAACACTCTGACACACAACTACTCTACTCTCATACTCCATTTCTAAACGCACTAGCTCTTTAAACCGCCTATGTCAAGGCGAGAAATAACATGCTGCCTACGTCTCAACTGGTATTTTGGCTTGTTGGGAGGAAGGGGGGGATTTGTTACACACAGGCCATCCTGTAGTAGTGGTGTGTATTATCCTTGACTGCTATCCACAGCGTTGCTGACATCGGCAATGTGCAATACAAGACCTTGATTCTTGGGTTTTGATCATTTGATGAAGTATTCAGGGTTACTTGCTCCGCCCCTGCCTTTTTGATTTTTGATCGTAACCTCAAAATTTAAAATAAATAATATTTAAAATTAACAAACAAGGCCCCATTTCCTTAAATTAACAACAATGCGTTTATTTCCACCGCTCGCCTTTATCAAACGTTCCAGAGCCGTGCCCCAAGAACCGGTGCCCTACAAATACAGCGTCCCCCTGAAACTCAAACAAGGAGTATCGAACAAGGGGGGCAAAATCTCCGAAGTGTGCTGCATCCACGAAATGTCCGTAATGTTTTCCTGCTTGAAAGACAACGAGTTTCAACAGCAGTTGTGCCACAAGGAGGTGGAATCATTTCAAAAGTGCTACACATCGTTTTTGACCGACAAGAATCAGAGAAGCGAAAGAGAGATGAAGGGACTTTTGACGCCCGGCGAAAAGAGAATGACATCCAAGCAATTGAACGTGCTATTAAAAAAATACCCTAATCTAGAGTAGTTATAATAATTTATTGTAGATAGTTTGGTTTAATATAAAGTTATGTTTTAAAAATTGTGGGTTTTTGGGTCTTAAAGTCACTACGTAGCTGTATAAAATTGTGTAGAATAGATTTTTCTAAATTCACCTAAAAAAACAAAATCTTATGAATTAGATAAACTTGAGGTATAGGTACTTTCATTTACCAATGAATCCTCTGAGCAAACTTGATGTAAATTTTCAGGTTTTACCAAAAGTAAATTGCACAGAGCGTGTAAAGTTTCAAATAACTCCGTAACCAAGGGCCCCATTGACTTAGTGCAAGACCTGTATTCGTTTAAGTCACAAATTGCAACCATTGCACCAGCGGTATTGTATTGGAACTGCAGCATATGATCGTAAATGGTTCTATGCAACCTGACACCCAATTCTTCAAGTACTGCCATTACATTATTGCCATCCAGGCTGCTTTTTATTTGTTTTATTATATTTGATATGTGTTGACAAACTGCCTTGCATGCAGGAGAAGACACTGTATCAAAATCATCAGTTTCAGGTTTAAAATCACCTTTTTTTTGTTCAGTTTGCAAATATAATTTAACCCAAGCAGCTACTGCATTGAGGCATCGGTCAAGGCCCACATTGACTTTTCTCTCAATGTCCTCCAAGACGTATTTTTTCTTTTGAAGGCTCTCACTATAGAATTGAGTATTGATTATTAAGGGCACTACCATGTCGGTGAATTGTTTTTCAAGTAAATGCGTTATATTGTTGCATTGATGAACTATAGTGAAGAAGGATAAAGTTGGAGATGTTTTAGCACCTTCTACTACAGGTACAGCTTGTAGGCCTAATTCAACTGCATAGTCTACATGTTCTATAAGGAGGCTGTTTACTAAAGTGTTGAGGATTTTTGAAGCATTTGTGGCTTTTTCTTCGGGTTTTGAAAGCTATAAAAAAGAACCTTCCTTCAAATTCAATGGTTCTAAACTTGATTGGAACTATAAAACAAAGTCAATAGGGAACTTACAAGTTGACATCGCAAAAAAGCATTTTTGGTATCCTGCAGGATTGTTATGGCCAATTCCTCGGACAAAAATGTCTCGCCGCCATAGTTTTCAATCTGAGCGATATTTATGTTGGCTCTGGTACCGATGACTGCTTGCAAGTCTCGTCTCAATTCCTGAAAACCGCCGGTTTGGATTTGTTTTTTCTGGTGGTTCTTGGCTTCGTAGTACTTTTGCAGATTTGCTGCGCACCGTTCTTTGAGGCATTTCAACTCAATCCTAAATAAAATGTTAGTAGTATGTGTATAGATTTTATGTTTCTAAAATGTATGTACCTACTCTTGAAATTCTCTTTTTTAAGATGGTGATAAGTTTGTAAAAATGCAACTTTTGGGAAACACTTACTGCACATAATCGCTGATATATTTATTAAAAATCTTCGTAGTCAATTTGCTCAAATAATTCTGATCGTTACCCAAATCATAGACGCTCAATTCGTTGGAAAACTGATTTGTTTTTGAGTACAACTCATAAAGTATTTGCAAGTAACCGTAGCTGCCAACTTTAGCACTTAGCCTGGAGTCTATATAATCAGCCAATTTCAACTGGTACAAGTTCAGAACAAATTTAGCCATTACTTGTTCTGGACTATTGAAAACTTCTTTTATAATTTCGTAGTTGTGCTTGCAAAGCGGAACCAAATGAGCGAAAACGTCTTTGCTCAACAAACAACCCTAAAAATTAATCTTTTACCAAAAAAAAAAAAAAAAAAACACATCATTATATTATAATTTACTGCTTGACTTTGATCAATATAGGCATCAACACACTGGCTGTAACCTTTAAACTGACTCAGCACGTTAGCTATAGCCCTCATCCTAACCAGATCCTCTTTGCTCATAGCCCTAACAAAATCTTCAATTAAAGCCTTTTCAATATCCGAGTAAGTCCTTTCGATTTTCCTTTTAACATTTTCAAACTTGGGCGAAGGCAAATCTTGTGATATTAAAAATAGTTTCTGTATTACGTCAGCCGCTTCGTCGATTCTATAGGGATCGTTGAAAATGGAGCTGGTTAACGGACCATTTGATAAAAATTCACTTAAATGGGTCATCAGTTTTTGAGCGTCTACTACTCGGGCTCTGGGACCATTGACACTGTCCAATTGGTCTCCTAAATGTAAGACTTTTGTGGCTACATGGTTAATTTTACTGTCCAGCTCTTGAAATGTGTCCATTGATTGCTAGGGATTTTTATTTATTTTATTCAGTCAAAAACCAGCTATAAACTGCTACCTTGTTTTGTTCCAGTAAAGTATAAATTTCCTGAAAAAACATTGCCTCGTCCTCTCTGACAGCGCCTTCGAGCCTTTCGCATTTCTTTTGCTGTCTTTCTTGAAGCAACGTTAAATCTCTGAAATTCGTTCAAGTATGATTTTAAATTAAAATTGTGTTGATTTTTACTTAATTGCTTGCACGAATGAATCATGTAAAAAGGTAGGATTCAAATCCCCTTCATCGCCTTCGGTTTTGGTTTCATTTATAGTTCTCCAAGCGAGTCGTTCGACGAATTCTTCTGCATCAAAGGGTTCCTGTTGAAAAAAATAATTTTTTTGAAAAAGTTGGTACCTTGCCGGTACAGATACAGTGTGTCCGTAAAGTCAATCAAGCTGAAATACAAATGGACCTTAACAACATTAAAGTGTGGACACATGAGTGGAATGATTATGAATGGACTGTCCTACATATTGGCCAAAACAATCTCCAATTGAATTATTTCTTTGAACAAATGGAAATAACATCAGTAACAAAACAACAAGACCTGGAAGGCACTTCAATATCTAACCTGAAATTGGATACACATATCACACAAATATCCAAAAATGCCAATTCAATGATGTACCTTATTCAGACAGCCTTTAAAGGCCTATCAAGAGGAATGATCTTGAAACTTCACAAGCTGTATGTAAGACCAAAACTTGAATATGCTCAAAGTAGGTATTTGGAACCCATACTATGTCAAAGATATAGAGCTGATAGAGAGTGAGAGATCTTCCACCTTAGTCACAACACGAATTTAAGAGGTCATTATTTTCTAAAGAAAAATACAATAAGCTCCTGTGGAGAAGTTTTCAATTTGACTAGATTTAATTTACGAATATATATGACATTAAACAGCATTTATCCATATTTAAAAACATGTTTTTTTCTGAAAACCAATCAACAATACTATTTAAATCAACCTGTAACAGAGCATAGTCATTATCACACGATATGGTTTTAAAAATTTTAAAGCAAATAGCAAACTATCAGAATGCTCGATAACACTAGGTTCTAGGACCTAGATTGCTACCTTGGGGGACACAAGATGTTGTGAAATGTTCTGAGATGCAATAACCAACTTTTACAGATTGTGTTCTATTAGCTAAGTATGACTGAATAAAAATGTAGGCACTTTTTGAAAAGCCAAATTCAGTAAGCTTGATCAGCAATATCTGATGGTCTACCATGTTGAATGCCTTAGCACAATCCGTATACACTACATCTAACTTATCATCGATGGCAGACAATACATTATTTGTGAAAACTAACAGATTTGTGAGAGTAGATTTGTCACCATCAGCCATGTTCATTCTAAAAATTCTTGCGTATGATTCTTAATTATTTCAAAAATTTTAGCCCAGGAGTTTAACACACTAATAGGTCTGTAGGTTTCAATTTCACTAACTTTTCCAGCTTTATGAATTGGTGTTACAATAGCAGTCTTCAGTTTATCTGGAAAAGTGTTGTTTTTAATGAATACTCTAAAGATGTGCAACATAGGTTTTGGCAAAAATTCTGAACATCCCTTGTATATGTTAGATGGTATATTGTCAGTCCCTGTCCCAGTAGTATTCTTGGACTTTTAGTTTCTTGATTGATGGAAGAGTCAACCATTTCAGCACTTATAACTGGTAACTGAAAATCACCCCAAGCAGGGCACCAGTCTCCCTTGTTGATTAGATTTTTAGATAAAAGCTTACTTACATACAATTGGGAAGTAACATGAAAAGGCATTGGCAATGTTTGTAGGTGTCTGATAAACCTCATCATTCCAGGAAATCATTAGGTATGCCCCTGTTTTTGCTTTTTGAGAATATAACACTCCAGAAGCTGTTCTAGGATAATTTCTAACATTTTGCTTAAGTGACAATTGGTGTAGATGATACTCATTGGCACTTTGCTTCTTGACTGCATCTCTAGCTTTGTTCTGTTCAACCCGTTAAGGGCGGTAAACGCACTTTGTATGCATATGTGTTAAGTACACAATTTTACTCCAAAAAAGGGCATTAGGTAGGTATTGAAATTTTTGAAAGAGAAGGGATTTCCAATTATAAATATCAAAGTCTACTTTACCACACACTATGCGGTAAGTAACTTTACTGCAAGGAAAAACAATAATATCTGCCATAATTTTACATATAATGGCTCCAGTTTCACTGAGAGTACCTCCATTGCAAATGCTTTCGCTACATACTTTCAAGATGTGTACACAAAGGCAAATCACTCAGAAAATTGCGAAAACTTAATGAATACAAATTATCAACTTGACATTTTGAAAATAGAAAATATAAACATAGAAGATATAATGGAAGCCATAAAATCACTAAAGCCTAGAGCGTCCCCTGTTACAGATGGCATACCCACCTACTTTTTCAAAGCCTATTCAGATATCTTGATAACCCCAATTCAAATATTAATAAACAAATCGTTGTCTACAAGATGTTTTCCAGACCAGTTAAAAAATGGTAGAGTTACTCCTATTCATAAATCAGGAGATACAAGTCTGATAAGTAATTACAGGCCAGTTACCGTTTTACCAGCGCTCTCAAAAATATTTGAAAAAATATTACATAAACGAATTTTTAATCATGTCAAACATGTTATTCTGCCTCAACAACATGGGTTTCAAAAAGGCAAATCAACAACAACCAATCTTAGTGTGTTTACGAAGTTTTTGGCTAAACATGTAAGCAGTGGCCTACAAGTTGATGTGGTGTGCATGGACCTAGCGAAGGCATTTGACAAGGTGTGCCATGATGTCCTTATAAAGAAACTGAAGCAATTCTCATATAGTGATAACCTGATTAGTTATTTGGTCTCATACATTGGCAATAGGCCTCAAACTGTCAAATTTGAAGAAGCTAACTCTCAGAGCTATGTGCCTGTGTCTGGGGTACCTCAGGGATCCGTTCTTGGACCGCTGCTCTTTGTGTTGCTTGTTAATGACATATCTAATTATGTGGGTAGTTCAGAGTTCTTACTATATGCAGATGATCTAAAGATCTTCAAAATTATTGGAAACGAAAATGATGCAATACTTCTACAGAGGGATGTAGATAAAATCCCATTTTTCTGTGAAGATAATAGGCTGTCACTAAATATTGGTAAATGTAAATGTATTAGCTTCTGTTGTAGTCAAAATCCTATTTTAAATGACTATAAAATTTGTGATGTGAAACTAGATTGAGTTCAAGAAATTCTGGATCTAGGTATATTATTCTCAAAAAATCTATCTTTTGCTCATCATCTCGAGAAACTTTATGCTGATGCTATGAGGAAGCTGGGATTTGTGATGAGAACCTGTAATAACTTTCTGCTTGTTATATAATTCATTAGTTCGATCAAAGCTAGAATATGCCACAGTAATCTAGAATCCTGTAATTTATGTCCATACAAAACTAATTGAAAAAGTTCAGAAAAAGTTGTTGAGGTATCTCTTTCTAAAAAAACATGGTTTTTATCCAAGCTTCCCACACCTTATATCATATCGGACGCAATTAGAGAAATTTGATGTAGTGGAGTTGAAAGCTCGTAGAGAATTTTGTGATATTAATTTTATCTATAATATTCTAAATAACAGTATAGATGTACCTGAGTTGTTACCATATATAAACTTCAATGTACCTGATGTAAGGTTGAGGCAAAGAAACATTACTTTTAAGGTACCTAATTTGTCTACTCCTTTAAATAGATGTCTGAAGAGTATCACTTTTTTTTAAGGATGTGGAAATCTGTTATTTATGCAGTATAAATAAAGTTCTGTTATTATTATTACTATTATTATAGTGTGTGACAAAGTGCTATTTTCTACTTGCAAATTAGTGCAGTTTGGTGCATTTTGCCACACACTCGTAGGTGAAGAACTTTATGTAACACAGATAAGGTTTAATTATGTTGATGATACATATTGTTTGGGTAAAGCGAGAGCTCGAGCGAGAGGTAAAGTCAAGGGTAAAGTAGAATATTTAACGTATTTCGTGTTTCAAGGAGTCTGTTTTTCCTGATTAGTGATTTTCATTAAAATTTTAGATGAAGTTCTTTTACAAAAAATGTTTTTATTTGGAATGGGTTTTCTATGTAACTGAGGGATACTCAAATTTTTCCTGCAATTAGTTAACAATAATAATAATTGACAATTACCTGTTCAAGTTCTTTCATGTACTGTTGCATCATTTTGACGAATTTATTTGTCTTTAGATGGACAATAATTGAAAATAATTGTATATAAAAAAAGTAATTTTTATTGTAGTATGTAAACGTAAACAAATATAAATATATGTCAAAAGCAGCTGATTGTCAAATTAGAAGGGAATTCCGAAATTTATAGCGCTTTCGACTTTTGCCGTAAAACTGCACCCGGTTGATCAAAAAGCGATCCGAAACGGAGCGTTGCTCTCGGCCAGAATTACGTGTCCGACTTGAGCAATAGAACGCTCTCAAATCTCGCACGGAGCGCTCTCTCTTGCTCCGTCAAATTCGATGGATCACTTCTGCTAAGAAGAATACACACTCTAGAGTGCTTATCGGCCTCTTTTTGGTTAATCCATTGCCGACGTCATAACTAAGTCGTCAGCTGTTTAAACAGCCTACGTCAAGGCGAGAAACGCCATGCTGCCTACGTCACACCTGGTATTTTGGCGTGGGGGATTTGTTACACACAGGCCTTATGAGTATAGGCCATCCTGTAGTAGTAGACAATGATAGTAGTGTGTACCATCCTTGCACTTCCGCAACGATTTGTGACGTCACTGATGAAAATTGCGAAAGTACGTCCGCTGAATGCATATTGCATGATTAATGACAATCAGCTGTACATAAAAATTTATTTGTTTGTGTATATTTATAATTGAATTTTTAATTTGTTGATAAATAAGCAAATTTCGCAAATTAGTCATTAAGCATTCTAGTGTAGACTAAAGTACCGTGTCTAGTGATAAGTGATGTGAATAAAGTCATAAAAAAGATGGAAGAATTAGAAGATCTTCTACAAAACAACAAGGAAAAATTCTATAGACAATTTTCTTGTTCGAACATCCAGGATAAGAACAAAGATTTCATAGGAAAAGTATGGGAACTCATTGGAAAAAACCTGTTATCCAAGAACGTATTGTATTTATCCTTAATGCTGCATAAAAACGACGACCTCTTAGATAAGTGCATCAGCTACGACAAAGAGACATTGAACATTGAAAAATCTTTAAAGGATCCCATATCGTTGTTCGATTATACGGTGCACACAAAGAAGCATTGGTTTTATAAATTAATTAAAAATAGCAGCGGTTTTGATTTACCCAAATTAGCCTATCTACAATTAATTAACATAACAAATAATGAATTTGCTAACAATCACTCTCACTTGGAAGAGTTTATTATAAAACAATGCCAAGATATAAACTATATTGATAAATTTTGGATCTATTATGCACAAGAAGTCAAATACATTTTAAACCTTATAGATGATTTGAATATTAATAATAAAGACATCCTGAACCATGCATGTCAAAATAGTGTGCTAGAACTTGCCTCAGAGTATCTAGACTTGGATTGCAAACATGCCAATGTGCTATCTTTATTGCAAAAACTAAAGCCCCAAACATTCCCTCATGAAGAAGACATAGAGGGCCAAATAAGTGTTTTAACAAGCTATTCAATTTTGGCTGAATTTTTAAAAATACTCATCAGAAATAATAACAGTTTAAATATAAACGAAATCCTCACACAAATTCAAATGGAGTTATTGAATATCAAAGATCACAAGTTGCAATTGCAACTTTTACAGGTGATTTTCAGTTGTATTTTTCTAAAAAGTAGCCACATTGATAATTCATCAACAGACAAGTACATTTGCAATGAAAAAGAATTAAGAATAATTTTATTTACACTTAAAACAGTTATGGAAGAAATTAAATTCAAGCGGATTTATGATGAAGATAATCTGGCTAAACTAAATGAATTATATAAAATGGTCACAGACGCTTCTTGGAGATTAGAGTTAATCATAAGCGTAGTCCCAGCAGGCAAATGCAACGACAATTTGTTGCAATATTTACTAGCAGAGCCAGAATCCCTCATAAATCTCTGCTTGAAGAGCAACTGCGATTTCAATAGGGCTTCGCAAGTATTACAGGTAAGAATTTATAGGGCTCTAATAGAGCTTTCCAAGTTTCTATGAGCATAAGTTTCATAAACGGTTGATTTATATTTTTTCAAGCTTCCATTTTCATCTTGCAGCACTCCTGGCGGGTTTGTTATGTAAAACCTTCTGATTTCGTCTATCTGATCTCTTGGGTTACAGAATTTGCATCTGCAACAGCAACAGCACCAACCTAAAACAAATAATTATGTATCTCATACTAGTAAGATCTCATATTAGATTAAGCAGTTTAAGTACTAAAAAAACCTCTTGTGTAACAAAATGCTGCTTATACTGAACTAAGATTATGTAAGCTATTGTTTAAAGATAAGGCATTTTAAAGTATTGAATCTAACTAATAAGAACCAAATCAGTGGCTGGAGAGATAAATACTTGGATAAATCGAACAAGATTTTCTGTTTAATTTGAGTTCCTCACCATATTGACACCATAAAGGTATTGCTATGCAAGCATAAATCAATATCCATATAATCATGATTAAAATAACTTTTTTTAGCATGAAAAATTTCTGGTCTTTATTCATGTGCTTCTTCTTTGATTCCAACCAAAAGCACTTGATTGCCTTAACTCCCAAACCAGATTTTTCTTCTTCAGTGCAATTTTTTGCTTTGAAATCCACCAGAGTCTTAACAGCCTCTGCTGCAGATTCCTCTTCTTTGACTTCTTTGTATTTGGCTGTGTCATTTTTCTGTTTGGCTTTTTTTACAGAGTCGTCATATTGGGCCTTGAGGTTTGCATAGTTGTAATCATCGGGGTCATTTTCGGCTTCGCGTTTTATTATTTTTTCATTTTTGGCTTCATCATCAAAGTATAACGTGTCTTCATTCTAGGAAATTAATAAGATTTGAAGTGTCAGTTTGGTACAATCAACAATTCCATATACCTTCATTATATTATTATATTTATCAACAAATCCACCAATCCATGGACGACTTTCCTCCATATCTGGATTAAATTCATCGACACGTTTGAAATACAAATTCTCTTCTTTACGTTTCAAGCCAGCATTTCTCAAATTTGCCATCCTGTGAAGCCCAAAATATCTTTTATCATTTTCATATAGTTTTAAGGTTTTTAAATCTTCTTGTCGAATGGCTTCTTCTTCATCATAGATATCCTGCACGTCAGATTTTTCAAGCGTTTCCGAGATAACAAATTCTTCTTCTTGTTTTAAGTTCACTTTGTATTCTGGAAGCCATATTGCTGTTGTCTTTAGAATTAGGCTTAGGAGTAACAATAATTTCATTGTTCTTATGAATATTGTGTCATTCAATGACTTTTCAATAATCTTTACACCTTGAAATTTCAACTTCGCACCTCAGTCATACCTCAGTGAATCATTTTTGAAGAAATCAGACCACAAACTATTAAAACATGTCTATGATTAAAACTTATACTAAAAGCAAGACTTGTTAACACAGATTCAGAACAGCAGTATAGAGTGAAACTCGGAGTGAAACACATTAACTGTAAAGATGTAAATCATTATATATCGCAAATCAACTGGGAGGAAGTCTTCTCTAATGACAATATGATTCAAAAGTAAGCGACATCCTTTCGAGGGCGTATTCCTTGCATAAAAATAAGACAAAAAGTTCCTATAAACATGGGTCCAGAAATGCTTCCAGGGAGCTACGCCTCTTTGAATAGGATACCTGAAAGACGTATTTTTCTCCATAACTTTGAAACCCTTCACAAATGGATTTTGAAAATTGGTGTATTTTATAAACATTTGATGGCAATTAAGAAAATAAATTGAAAATTCAAAAATCTTAATCAGTGGCGTCACATACTGGGGAGGGTGCGGGTTTAAACATCCCTATTTTTTTTACTCGTCAGATTTTTTTTTCAAATTTTCAAAAGTAAATTTTCTCGTGAACAGCTGTATCGAATTGAACCAAGAGTACCTTTTCTGTGTAAAAAACTCTAAACTTTCCAAATTTTCAATCAGAATTGCAAAAACCTGAAGAGTAAAAAATAGGTATGTTTTAACCTTCACCCTCCCCAGTATGTGACGCCATTGATTAAGATTTTTGAATCTTCAATTTAGTGTCTTAATGGTCTTAATTGCCGTCAAATGTTTATAGAATACACCAATTTTCAAAATCCATTTGTGAAGGATTTCAAAGTTATAGAGAAAAATACGTCTTTCAGGTATTCTATTCGAAGGGGTGTAGCTCCCTTAGGAAGCATTTCCGGGCCAAATTTATAGGAACTTTTTGTCTTATTTTTCTGCAAGGAATACGCCCTCGAAAGGATGCCGCTTACTTTTGAGTCACCCTGTATAGATTATGTATGGGACCCCTTCGAGGACCCCTTTCACTCAGAACTAGAGACAGCACCTTATAGGACATGTCCATGTGACGTCACAAATGAGTTTGACAGTCGCCCTGAAGTAAAACAAATCATTTATTCACATTCGTTTAGATTAGGTCAGTTATGTTTTATGCGGTTTTCACAGCTTTTTCACAAGTTTTGGTGTTATTTTGTTTTAAAAAAGTTGGAGCGGACTGTTTGTGTTCCAGTCTATGTGGTTTTTCATCTAAAAGTTTGCTAGGTTTTTCTATAATGGATTAAATTCAGGTTTTTTCCAACAAATATCAAAACCAAGAACAAATATATAAGTATAGTTACTCTATATTCAATCTATTTTTCTGTCAGATCTTCTCTTTTAAGAACATTAATCCATTTTTTTCTTCTCTCTTGAGCTAACAAATCAAACTTCTCATTGTTATTTAAAATTGATGGAAACCTATGGAAGGATATTGTATCCCTTGCTCTCTACTGCCACAATTAACAACTAAACAAACTCTAGGCATGTCCAAGAAACTTTTGGAGCACACAAAAGGTATTTATTTTAAAAAATTTAACTAAAAACTTAAAAAACACTGTAAATTATATCTTTGTTTTACCTCAAGGCGACTGTCAATAGTGTCAAACTGTCAGATCGTGTACTTGCCCTGTACAAAACCAAAAGAGTGAATAACCTAAAACCATCGATAACTAGAAACCACATCCGATACTGTAGGAGAAAAAGGGCCCTATGGAAAAGGTACTTTAAACCACCTACCCACTGACTACATAAATCGTACATTCTCCAACACTCTATCAAAAAAAATCAAAGAAGGCTAAGCTGGCATACATTGACTAAACTACACAAGTACATTAGATCACAACTAAACATCAAAGTGGGCATTCCTATTTTAAAAACTCCAAATGGCGAAATTTGCACAGACAATATTGAGAAAGCAACCATCTAAGCAAACGAGTTTCATAAAGTATTCATGACGGAGGGATGCATTCCTGGAAATACCGCAAATAAACTTTTAGGGTACCAAATGAAATCACAACTACCCAAATTACAACCCAAGACATCCTAAAGAAGATAAAAGCCCTGAAGGTTGCCAGCTCTCCAAATCTGGATGGAGTATTATACTCATTAATTCTTAAAAAGTGCTCAAACAACCTTGCTGTTCCTCTGTTCAAAATAATGAATATGTCACTGGAGAAAACAAGGCTTCCCGCCGCTCAGAAAGTTGCATCAGTCATCCCGATATACATGAATGGTGATAAACAAGATGCTGGAAACTACAGGCCAATAAGCTTGCTATCCCTGGTCGCAGAAAATCTGAGAGGTTTTCTTGGACAAGAATAATTCATTCCAACTCATCAACATGTTTTTTTTATCCAAAACGGAGTACCACAACTTGCCTTCTTTTTGACTGTCTTAACAATGAATTTGATTTTTTTGGAGCCATAGGCATCTGCTAAAAGTGGATCATTTTGGTGTGGGGATTTACTGCTTTGAACCGAAGACTATCTTACAAGCAAAGCGTACAAAGTCAGAGTTGGCGACTCATACTCTGAACTATATCCAGTACAAAGTGGCGTACCGCAAGGCTCGGTACTTGCACCTCTGTTATTGTAACTTATAGGTACTACAGATCTCCTCATCGTAATAATATCAAAATGTGCAGCGTTCGCTGACGACCTAAAAACTTATGGTCCCAAAAACAATTACTCAGTCCAGGAAGATTTAAACCAAATTGAGAAGTGTTGTCAGGACTGGACACTACTCCTTGTGGAAAAATGTGTGGTACTCTATCTTGGAAAAAATCACCCAGAAAATGAATACACCATCAATGGGTCAGAACTAGTTAGTGTTCAGTAACACAATGACTTTGGAGTTCTGATAACCAAAGACTCAACCTGGCCAGTACATGTAACAACCATATGCAAAAAAGCCAACAGCAAGTTATTTCTCCTAAAGAGGGTCTACCCAAAGACCTCCCAAGAAGCATTTACAAAACTGTACAACATATATTGGAGGCCTCGTTGGAGGCTAATCCTCAGGTCAGGCTTGGCACCCAGACCTCATTAGAGACCGCTATAGCCTTGAAGCTGTACAGAGAAAAGCAACACGATTGCAACTTGGTAGAAGAAGACCTACATAGGAAGAAAGACTAGAACAACAAAAACTGTTGAGTTCCAAAATAGAAGAACAACCACTCCGAAACAACATTCAAATAGTTAGACACCTATATCTCTGAACACAGACTAGAGATTCCGGGATCACAGTCTCAAACTTAAAAAAGAAAACTACTCCACAGTGTGTAGGAAGAACTTCCTACCAAACAGAGTCTTTGCCCTCTGGAATCAACTCCCAGCAGAAACAGTTCTGTTACCTACTTCAGTGTCAGTATTCAAGACAAAACTTGATAGTCCATTGTTGTGCGAGTCGAATTGAAATTTTAGTATAATCCACTTTAAACTTCCCTCTAGGCACCTTGATCATTCTCATTTAATTAACAGCTAAACGTTATTTTCAGATCTTCAGTCTTGAAAGTTCGTCCTTAGCCCAGGAAATCCTTTATACTGAGAAGCTTCAAGAACTCAAAGACATTTTCAAAAAAACCAGCAAAATTCGTAATATCCACCAAGACACACCCGAGTTGGCAGTGCCGAAAATCAAACTGAATTTAGATGATATTGCAGAAGAGTTTTTCCGGAAACACCCCAATAATAAATGTGAAGAATCTGACAAAATCATCCAAGAAAATCTGGAATGTTATCCATTTTTAGACCATTTCAAATCAGAAAACGAGTTATTGATGAATATTTTGGATTTAGCTATAACTCAAACGAACACGTTCGATGACTCGAGGGCTTTGTTGCATTTGGCTTCAAACTATAACACTTTGAACGATAAAGAGTCAGATTTTTCTATATTTGCCAGGAAATTGTTGATTTTGTTTAATGAAATTGGCGAAAAATCAAATGTAACTTTGGGAAACATTTTATTGAATCCTGAAATTGTTTTGGATAAAAACCAATGGCAAAAACAAGAGGAATTTTATGAAAAATTACAGAAAATGTATGAAGAATTTAATGCCAGCTTATTAAACAGTGAAGCAGGCGTTTTAAATAAGGATCATTTGAGTCATAAATTATGTCAAAATTTGTCTAATTACTTATCCGAGAACTCAAACAATGAAAAATATTTACAAAAATTATTCAATTATATTAAAGCCTTTAGTAAAGTCCTTTACATAGAAAAAGACACTTCAGTGTTGATATCCAATAACGAAAATACTTCATTTTTTGCCTTACTTACCTTCAACCGTTCAGAATTGATGGGCAAATTACTTTTCGAACAAAATCTAGACCCAAAAGAATTCGAAAAATACTTCCAAAAGCTTAAATTAGACTTTTTATATCACGTCACAGGCAATTGCTTTCCAACAATCAATTTATACACAGACGAAAATGTTGCCAAAGACGAACTCTATCCAGAAAACACCTTATATGCTCCCAACGAAGCTGTTATAACTTATATCAAAAAACGCCACTGGCTTTTGGCACTGATTCTAATAGAAATGTATAAAATTGAAGATGTTGAAATTGTCGAAGTGGGTGAATCCAGAATACAACATTTCATCAACTACCTGCGATTGCCTAAAATCCAAAATTTGCAAGACCTATTCAAATGCAACGAAATAATCGCAGCAGTGCAAAACGACATTAGTTATCACAATACGCAAGAGTACGTTTACGCGGAAATCAAAAAGCACGATTTTGGTTCTTCGACTCAAACTAGTCACTCTAGCGACAGCTTGGAAACTGCAGAGGAAATTTTAGAGGACGAACTCAAAACAACCAACTGGAGGAAGCTTTTTAGTATTTTAGACTCAATTCCGGAAAAACAGTTTAAAAAAGAGCCAGATTTTGTCAGTTTACGTGACATGGTTTTGGTGAATTTGGTTAAGGACGCATTTGAGTGTGGGTATTACAAGTTCACTCTGGAAATAGCCGATAGGAGTTTGAGGACTAATTTGCTGTTGGAAAATATGAAAACCTGGCCTGAAGATTTTTGTATAAATAGCATCAAGTGTGAGTTGACAAGGTTCGAGAAGGAGGAAGAAGAGGAAACTGAGGTTGTTGAAGAGTTGAAACTGTGGCTGAAGCATATTGAACATAGTAAAAAGGTGAGTGATTAGGTATTGAGTAGACCGTGATGTTCTTTATACAGTTAATTCTAGATGAGAAGAGTAATTTTTAAGCTATAATTTTGTATAGTTTTGCCTTCAAATTCAAACCTGATTACAAGGCCTGAGGAGTTAACCATTTTGAAACATATGTACACCAGAATCCCACTTTTAAGAGAATCCCACAAAATCCTACTGGAAATCCACGATATCTACTGGAATCCCACGATATCTTACTGAAATCCCATGCAATACGCAATCCTACTGGAATTCCACAGTATCCTATAGGAATCCTACTGGAATTCAATGGAATTTCTTGTGAATTTTTAGAATTATTTTGAACGCTAGCTAGAAAAGACTGAAAGACTCATTAAAAAATTGTTTCGTGTAAAATATTGACTCGAAAATGAGTAGAACTCGCTTCGCTCGTCCCGCAGAGGTTCAAAAGTGAGTGAAACTCTGCGGGACGAGCGAAGTGAGTGAAACTCTGCGGGACGAGCGAAGCGAGTTCCGCAGCATTTTACTCATCAATAAACTGTTTCATGTACATACAGGGTGCTTCGAATTTGAGCCACATCATTGGGATCTCGGAAACGATGGGAAATACAGTATGAGTTAAGTTGGGGCGAAGTTGCGTAATTTGATGCTTAACAAAATACCGCTTTGATATTCAGGATATTCCGAATACTTCCGGAGATATCCGGAAAAAACCGAAATTTTGTAAAATTGTTTTTATTTTTTTCTTGACTTTATTTGAAGTGATATTTCGAAAAAAAGATCACTTCATCATAGTCACTTTTTCTCCCCTACAAGATGCTACCATCAAATTTAAAATTTGATGTTTTGTCTTTGGGCCATCATCAACTTTATTTTTTTAAATACGACCCTGGATTTTTTAATCCGGATTTTTAGAGCTTCTGGTGTCGCAAAGCCTATGACGTATATAAAAATATTTTTTTCACTTTTTAGTAATTTTCTACCAAAATTCTCTTCTCTGTCTCTCTAACACATTTAGTTCTTATGAAGAGTGCCAATAATATACATTTTTCGAACAAGTGCAATACGTCATTGGTTTTGGGACAATACGTCATTGGTTTTGGGAAGCCTAAAAAATCTAATATAAAAAATAAGGGTCCCTATTTAACACATGACATTTTTTTTTTAAATATTACTTTAAAAAAAGTCAAGAAAAAATAAAAGCAATTTTGCAAAATTTCGGTTTTTTCTGGTTTTCTCCGGAAGTATTCGGAATAGCCTAAATATCAAAGAGGCATTCTGTTAAACATTAAATTTCGCCCCAATTCAACCAACCCTGTATCTCTCACTGTTTCCGAGATCCCAATCATGTAGCTCGAATTTGAAACACCCTGTATAATATTGACTTAAAAATTATTAAATTAAAGGAGTATGTTTCAGTCATTACTTTGATTAACTCATTATTAAACTGCTCAATAAATTGTGTGAAAGTTCTACTCTATTAATTTAAAAATTCATTCATTTTCAGAAATCGTACTTGAATGACTCATTAATGAGTTAAATATGACATTTTGGAAACATTCCCACAGAATCCCATGGAATCTCATGGAATCCTATTGAAACCCCACTGGTATTCCACGAAATCCCACTGGAATGCCACAGAATCCCAAGGAGTCCCACAGAATCACACAAAATTTCACTGGAATCCCACATGCTTGTACACTATAATTCCAAGGTGGTTTACCCCTCGCCAGGCCCCGAGCAAAAACTAACTTTTATTATTCTTTGGTTGAAATTTATAGTATTTTGCGTTAGAGAGTTTGAACCAGAATTTTTAGTATTTGTCTACTATTATGGGATTTTAGGAAGTTATCAAATCAAATCAAATCAAATCAAAATATGCTTTATTGTAAAAAGAGAAAAATATCTTGTCTACAAAGCAGAAAAATACAATAATATAACAATAAACACAATAATAAAATGTCAAAATTTAAATTTACAAACCGCTGTAAGAATAATAACAGTACAATAATAAAATAATAAATACAATATTAAAATGTCAAAAATTAAAATAACAAACAGCCGTAAGAATAGATACAATTATTAAAACTAAAAACAAAAATACATATGAAAACAGGACATTAAAATGAAAGTACTTGACAAAATCAATACCTGCAAACCTCGCTACAAACAATCATCGTAATACTCCTCCAGTTAGAAAACGACCTTATGTACAAATTAATTTTTAGTGGAAAACTAATATATTTTGGCCAATTTCCATGCACTTTGACCTCAATTTTAATAAAAATTTAAAATTTTTAGGTGATGCATATACTGGAAGTTACTTCGTGGTCAAACATGTACGACATGTGCACCTTTCAACCGAAAGAGGTTCTGAACAAACTGCTTGCCAGCAAAGAAGTAAGACATTTTGTACACAATTATTAATTGATTTCAATTTAATTATTTCAAGATCAATTTGCTGTTAGAATTTATTGAGCTCCATGAAGTGAGCAACGCGATGCTCCTATGCATAAACGAAGACTTTCTAGAAAGCGCCTTTGAGATTCCCATGGACTTAAAATCGATAAAAAAGTTACTAAAATTCCTACCGCAAAATCATGCAATTAAAGTGTGTCAAAATTTGCTAGGTATCCTTAAAAACGTCAGCCACTTACAATTTATTTGCGACTACTTAACGAAACGCACCAATCAGGACGATTTAGCCAATGTAGCATTGAGTTTGAAAATGCTCTCTGTGTTTACTCAAAACGAATTTGATCAGCAACTTTTGTTTTTGCTCAGAGACCCTATGAGCATTATAGAGGTACTGATAATGAATACAAAATTGGATAAACTAGCTGCCGTGTTGGAAATGATTAAAAATTGCATTCCGGTGACTGAAATTAAGGAAGAACCTGTTACTGTGGAGAAAATCGATGACGTTTTAAGGAAGTATGCCGAGAAAAGTTTAGATTTTAGAGTTATAGCCCAACCAGAGCCTAGATTGTTGTCTACGCCGGAGCACAAACTTTTACAGTCGTTGGATTCGATTAATTTAGATCCTGACGCAAAAGGTATACCACTTATCAGGAGTATTTTAATTTAAAGAACCATCAATTTTGATAATATACTTCACCTCAAAATTCCTTTTGCTTGTCGCTTAATTTGAGTGTGTCTCTAAAACTTCAACTTTTTCCTCTTCTTACAAAGACATTCATCAATTTCTAGTGTTCATAATGCCTGAAGAAGTCCCTTCAAAAGACCAATGGGTAGCAAACTCTGAAGTCATCGAGTGCATGTGCTGCACAAATGTATTCTTCTCGATGTTCAATCGTAGACACCATTGTAGAAGATGTGGAAGAGTTGTTTGTTACAGTTGCTCTAAAAAGCGGATGATTGTTCCTACCTATGGAGACATTTTAGTGCGAGTTTGCACTGATTGTTTCAAGCAAACTTTTAAAGATGCCGTAAGCGAAGATACAACGTCAACAAAATCTGCACTGGATGACTACTGGATGCTGACCAATGATCTGGATCATAACAGGATTGTGAGGGAGGAGTTTTCTTACGAGTTTGCTCCTAGTGTGTCGTTGTGTTTGAGTTTGATGAAGTTTCATTCGGCTAGCGATGAAAAGGCAAAGTGAGTTTATTGTTGATTAAGTAGGGATCAGTTTGGACATCTATAACTAATATTGGAGAATAGCAATATTTAAAGAAGTGCTGCTTCTCTAAAGTTGTTTTTCACTCTCAATGAATGCCTTCATCAGTTGATATTATTCCAGATTTCTACTTGACCAATGTGATATTCTTCTAAAACTACTCATACCCAATCAAGACCACCTGCAAGAAATCGATTATATGTTGGTGATACGAATGCTCAAGTAAGTTTAACTTCAATCATAGCAATTGTATAAACTATACAAATACAAATAAAAAATATTTATTGGCGCCATAACAAAAGTTTTAGGCAAGTGAAGAAAAAAGAGATTTTAGGTAAATAGGAATTAGGTGATATCATTAAAATTATTGGACAAATATTCATGTATGCTATAAAAACTTTTTGAGATAAGGTACTCTTTGATTCTTGTTTTGAGGCCTTGAATCGGTAAGGACCTTGTGTGGAAGGGCGATTTGTTATGAAACAGAGGTCCATAGAATCATACCCCTATTTTCATACGATTAATTCGATGAAAATCAGTGTAAATAACGCTATTATTCCTAGTTACGTGCGAGTGAACATTTTCAAACCTCTCATAATCTCCAAGATTTGCTTTTATATGTAATAAGCAGCTAAAAATATATAGGCAAGGAACTGTTAGGATATTTAGTCTGGAAAAATACATTTTGCAATCAGCTCTGTAGTGCAAATCCTGTAAGATTCTTATTGCCCTTTTCTGGAGGGAAAAAACATGGCTCGTATCAGAGGCATGCCCCCAGATTAGGATTCCATAAGATATCCCAGAATGGACACACGCAAAATATATTGATCTAGCAACAACTGGAGAAACATTTCTAATTGAACTGCGAAGTGCAAAAACTCCAAAAGAAATTTTTAGACATATCCGATGTGGGTACCCCATAAAAGCTTTGAATCCAGTTTCATCCCTAAAAACATTAATAGTTCAGTTGGACAATGCAAATCTATATTTCGAGTAGAGATGTAAAGTATTTGATTTTTTGATGCGTTCATACTTAACTGATTAGCCGTGAACCAATCTGAAACGTTCGACTGTGTTTCCATCACCCCATCTGCAAGTCATCCAAAGCTAAGCCTCTCTTAACAAAGGTGGTATCATCTGCAAAAATTATGAAATCAGCACTAGGGCTGCATTCCAAATCATTGATATAGACTAAAAACTGAATTAATTATTTTCAGATCATTAGCTCTAGCAGCAAAACTGTCCTCTCAAGATACCAGCCTGCGATTCGGGTCGTCGTCAGCCGATCGAATTTTAACTCAAGCTGAACTGTTATCGTTGCTAGCTGAAAGGGGCTGTTTAAGTTTACTACCAACCAATAATTCGGCATTTATCGATTCGATTTCGCTAATGAGACTCACTGACAAGTTGCTAGAAAGGGAACAGTGGCAGTTGGCGTTGGAGGTGTCTACTAAAGCAGGAATCGACAAGTCGGGTAAGAATTTTTAGTAAATTGTTGCCCTTTTGTAGAATACTTGTTTATTCAAGGTGTTTTCGTTGCTTGGGGTATAAGCTGCTTAAAAGCCGGAAGTTTAGTATCAGCACGTGAAAAATTCAGCAAATGTCTGGATAAAAATGCGCATCACGATGCCAACTACTACGACATAGACAGCGCTTCGCTGAAAGTAATCAAAAATCCTCCATTGTTGAATGAAATAATCAAAATTCTCGAATCCAAAAAAGAGACGCTCGACGAAGAAGTGGTAATTGACCATTCAAAATTCTCCGGGTCGACAATGACACTAAGTCAAAGTGTGGTTTCTACTTCTCCAGCAGATGGTGCCATCTTTATTTTGAATAAACTGAAAAATTTGAAAAATATCGAATTGGGCTATTATTCGTTGAAAAAACGAGGCAACAGTGCTGATCAGAAATTAGAAAAAGTAATATACGACGAGTGCGTTTATTATTTGAGTAGATACGGCACTGGCATAAGTTTAGTTGAATTCCACATAAAATATGGCAACTTTTCCAAGGCACTGAATTGCATCATCAAAAAAAATCTCTCGCCTGAAGTTTTTGTGGAAACTTACATGAAGTGCTTGAAGCACGGCAACATAAGCACCCTTCAAGCTCACATGTCTGAGATAGACTCAACACTGACGATTTGGAAAGACCACTTAATGCAAATTTGCTGTTACTTGGCTAAACGCAATTTATTGCACAGCCTTTATCAGCTTCAACTTTACATGGGCGACTATGTCCGGGCGGCAATGACTTGCTTCAGGTTTTACGAGGAAAAAGCTAGTTCGTTCACTGATTTGCTGAATAATAGTCACTTTTTATATAAGTCGCAAGAACACTTGAGACAAGCTAAAGAACAGGAGCAGTGGATTACAGTGTCTACAGGTAAGACTCAAGAATGTTCTAGAGGTTTATCGGATGTTATTCCAATGCTTCCTAATTCCCTACAAAATAGAAATACTCTTTTTCAGTTCGGACGATGGAATCAGAAGAAACCTTCGATGTCACTAGTGTTGAAAGCCCTCTAATTAAAAAAATGACGAGTGAAGAAATCGACAAGCACACAGCCACAATTTTAACGCAAATCGAGGCTTCCCAGTTTCTGGCGGATTGTGAAAAAAATGGCGTAATGCCTATGCAATTATATCTGGAAATATTTCCAAATCCGGGTAAGAATCTCCAATCAACCATGCCTTAGCGATACATGTATAATATGTTTTCTTCCAGACAACATCCCTAAAAACAAAATCAGCATCCCCACTCTCTTCGGCCCATCAGATCAACGCAAATACCTTGCGGCCCTTTGCATAATTTGCGCTCAAACTATCGAACAAGGTTTCGCATTCGGCCTAAGGATCATTAAAGAATTCAGGCTTAAGCCAATCCTAGTTTACAAGGAAACTGGTAAATATTTAGCCCAAACCAAACGATTCAGCGACATAGCCGAACTAGTGAATTGTATTAAACAATCGAGCAACGGAAATGATGAGGTGGTCGCAGTTTGTGATGAAATGCTCATTTTTGCAGTGGCCACATTGAAAAATACAAGCAGCACGGAGGCCCACGTTGAAGAGTTGATCAAACACATTTCCGATAAAACTGTAAAGATTTCCGCTTACATTGAAGCTCAACAGCTGAAAACTGCTTATTTTTTGGCCACGAAATACAAGAGGCTGGTGGATTTAAGGAGGATAATGAGGGAGGCAGAATCGACCAATCAAACAGCTATAAAACTGCTTTGTCAAAAGGCTATTCAGCGATACTCGGCAGAGAATAAATGAATTGGTGATTGTGAATAAATTAAAAAGGCTCGTGGATGTGGATAAACTATATATTTGAGTGGCTGTGACAAAGTAATTTAGGATATTGAGGAGGTCAAAGTCAAAGTTCTAGAATGTGACACTTTTTTTAATAATCAAGAAACAATCTTGTGAGCTTATACCACAACATGAGGAAAACAAATTGACAACTTAGTAGAAAGTTCCATTAAAACAACTAAATAGAAGATATATTTCAGCCTTAGAAAGACTCAAAAAACATTTACTCTGGAACTTTACAAGTCTACTAGAGAACTGAAATAGCGGTTTGAGGTGTTTTTTTTTTAACATATTGGTTTTCTTCTTCGCCCACACATTTTCTGGAATTTCGAATTTGCACCCTGATACTGTGACTGTTCTTAAAACTAATATAAAAAATCCTTTTATAATTTCATATTTATTTATTTATATATTTTAATAAAAATTATATTTACACTAATAAATAATATAAATTTGTTTATAATATTTTTGAAAAAAAAAACATATCCTACAGAATAAAAAAAATCACAAAACTGTATCAAACCCTTTGAAACCCACCACCTTCATGTAGAAATTATTCTTGGTATGGCTCAAAAAATTTTATAAAATAAATTCAAATTTTTCTTTCATAGTAAATGCTGGTCGAGCCTTCAGGGACATTATTGGCAAGATTCAAGGCAAATTACGTGTGATGCAAAATACTTAGAAACGAGATTCACAATATTAATTTTTTTCATTTGAGTATTACTTTATTAATCCTAACAGTAAATATTGGATCAGTCCAAAATGGACATTTCATTAATCTTCTACTCGGATATGATTATCAGCTTCATTTTCACCATTATTTACACCATCCTCATTATTCTGCAAAGTTTCGGCTTTTTCCTCAATTTCTGCATTCAATTTTTCCACAAACTTCTCATCGATTTCGCCGATTTTCTTCAAAAATGCTTCTTTCAATTCGATATTCCATTGAGTAAACCATTCTTTGAACAATTTAATCTAAAAAAAAATATAATTTTTTAGACATGGTACAATAATGTAGTAGGTATGTATAATATTATTTTATCTATTGATCCATTCAAAATAAGAAATAGAAAATAGGAAGCTGCATCAGAGTTCTGATGCATGAGGTCTTAGCTTTTCAACGCATACAAAACTCTTGCAACAACCCTATATCACTTGTGTAAAATACAAACTTGTATCTACAATTTGAATGATGCAATATTTTTATAGGATACAAGTTTATGACATATTTTTGTATTTAAAATATTGTAGATATTATGGGCACAGCATTTATGGGTGTCTGCGAGGATGTCTGGTTATAATTTGACACCCCACCTGTGACCTTCACCTTTCACAGGTAGATGATAGATGTAAATACAAAAGTTGTGCAGTTTTAGTTAAAGGACCCCGTACCCTCTTATTGGTTTTTCGGTTTTCTGCCAAACTCAATGAAATTTTGATATGTTTGGTACTGTGTTGACTTCCTGATAAAAAGTTCTCGTAGGCCCAACCCGATACTATGAATAGTTTTCAGGATACAGGTAGTTTCATGTCCAAGAAATTTACACATTTTATAAGCATTAGATCTATCTGTCACCTGAGGGTGTGGATACCATACCATCCTGATATATTATTAGGTGGAAGCTCAGGTGAGAGGTAGATGAAAATGCATATTAATGTGTACATTTCTTGGACATTGAACAACCTGTATCTCAAAAACTATTCATAGTATCAGGTTGAGTCTACAAGAACTTTTTATCAGGAAGTCAAGGTATACTACATGTCAAAATTCTATGGAGTTTGGCAGAAAACCAAAAACCCATTAGAGGTGTGGGATTCTTTTTAGAATCCATCATCAGAAAAATTTGAATTTTTCTGTACCGGGTGATTGTCTATATTTTGCAGCCACACCTATCTTACCTGTTTGAAGAGATACCCAGAAATGTCAAATGTGAAAGTTGTAGGTAATATCAGAAAGTTTTCAATGATGTTAATTAAAGGTATACAGGGTGTGTCACAAAAGTGTGGAGAAGCAAAGTTATACTTTTTCAAATGGAAGACCCCATATATTATTGTCCTATTGGATTAGCTTGTCAAACCTGATTTCAAATATACTAGGTTTTTTAGGTTTATTCCTAATAGTACAGAAAAAAAGGGCAAAAATGGGTGGAATGATTTATAGAAAAAGGTGAAGTATAGAAACCGCCAGTGAAAAATAAAGGTAGGTAATCATTCATGTGAAAAATCTAAAGTCTGTTTTTTTTTTTAAGATAATTACCTAAGTCAAAAATTTAGTAATTATGTTGGCAACATAAGCATTTTTTACACTACATAAAAAATTTGAAAGCATTGACAATTTTACATTGTATTGCCAACATAATGTCATTTTGACTTTTATCTTTAAAAAAAACACACTTTATATTATTTCTTCAAAATGGTATATATTCAGACACTTGACTATGAGAAATAAACCTAAAAAAAACTAGTATATTTAAAATCCAATGGGGCAATATTATATGGGGTTTCTATTTAAAAAAGTATAACTTTACTTCGCCACACTTTTGTGACACACCCTGTATACTTGTAACTAATATCATTGAAAACTTTCTGATATTACCTACAACTTTCACATTTGACATTTCTGGGTATCTCTTCAAACAGGTGAGATAGGTGTGGGTGCAAATTATAGACAATCACCTGGTACTTTCAACTTTTTTCAAACAGAATGCCCTATTTTTGAAAAACACAATTTTCCGATTCCAAAAATATATAGTTTCTTTATATTTGGTTGAACTGTCTCTAACACATTTGGATGTTAAAATTTTAAAAATACTATCAGAGAAACCAAGTGCCTGAAATTTTACCTGCAGCTTTCACCTTGACAGGTAGAATCTAAGTTAGTAGGATAGTAGGATAGATAGTATTTTTCTACTTTAGAGGAGCATTGCAGTTGCAAAAACTATTGCCAGCTGCATGGAAACTGTTAATTTTCTTTAGGTATATTTTTATTCCAAGCTCTTGAATTTTCTTATTTTTTTATTTAGAGAATGAAAATTCAAGACCCTGGAATAAACAAAAAATCGACACATTGATAATGGAGTCCCAAGAAATAGCAGAAAAGTTTGCAGAGCATACTGCCAAATTTACACAAAAGAAACACACCAGTACTTTGGCGCACAGGTTGTTGTAGCACATTGTGAGTAGATCATGCTGGATGGGAAGCTTCCCGAGGACTGGAAAAAGTCAATAGTACCTCTGAAATCTGAGAAACTACCAACCTGTTAATTTATAGCTTTGTACAGGTTTGGAAAAAGGATGGTTCTAGAATGGTTCAAAACAATCGCACAGTTTATGAATCAATAAAATGACAATGGCTTCGGCTATCAGTGCAGTGCATAAATATCAATAATAAATTGTGCGATTGTTTTGAAACGTTATGAACAAAGTTTATGACTAAATCTTTTGACAGGAGTAGATAAATGGATGGAAGCACTAGACAACAACCAACCAGTCAATATTCTATACCTAGAGACTATGAAAAAGCTTTTGATAAAGTTTCACATGAAAAGCTACTGCACAATCTTGAACCTAGAGGTGTCGAGGAAAATCTCTTGAGATGGATGAGGGTCTTTTAATTGGATGACAGTTCCAGGTCAAAGTAAATGGAAAGCTCTCAGAAAGTTACGCAGTAGAGAGTAGTGTTGTTCAGAGCCCAGTACTGGGACCTCTGCTGTTCGGAATATTTACCAGTGATCTGCTGAACCAATTTTTGCTGACGCACTGTTCTTTGCAGATGACGGAAAAATGTTTGTAACCCCTTGACTAACCACCTCATTATTACAAAAAGGATGAAAAAGATAGATAGTTGGCCTAAGAAAGATAGTTGGCCTAAGAAATAGACTTTCCCTCTGAACTCTGGACCCCAACAAATATACTGTTTTACACATAGAAGCTACAGCAGATATCAATAACACACGATATAAAATGAGACGCGCATATATCGAATATTACAAAGAAGGCAAATAGTCTCATATTTCTAATAAAAAAGGCAATCTACGACCAATCAGAAGAAATTATAGTGACTGAAACTATATAAAATGTGTATTAGGCTGAAATTGGAATTTGCACTCAGTCTAGAATCGGTATTACATCAAAGTCATTGAGTTGCTTGAGCGGGTACAGAGAAGTCACAAAAATACCTAGGGCACTACACAATAAACCATACCTGAAAACGAGGGGTGGTTAACTGGTCAAAATCTGTGTACAAGTTTTCAAAATCCCAGAAAATCTCATAAAGATCTACTCAAAATCTCTAATAATCTTTGAAATCCTTAAAAATTTAACAAAATTCCACAAAATCTCTTGAAATTGCATAAAATCCTACAAAATCTAACAAAATTTCATTAAAACCAAAAAAATCCTGCAAAATCTCATAAAATCATTAACATTCCTAAAAAATATTTCCTTTGATATTCCCAAAAATCCTTTGGAAACCTCAAAAGTCTCTCAGATATCTATAATTTAGTGGAATTTCGATAGAATTCTGAAAAAGCAATTACAGGTGAAATTTTTGAGGAATTTCTATAGAATTCACATTAAATTTTAGTTCCTCTCGAATTACATGAAATTTTGAGAAATTACATGAAATTTTAGTGGAATTTCGATCAAATTACATGAAATCCTGAATTACACCGAAATTCCCAACATGAAATTTCAGTGCTCGTTAGATTACAGAAAGAATTTTAAAAAAGTTACAAAAAATTACATGAATTCCGACGAATTTTCGTCGAATTAAATGGAGCTCCGATGCAATTGCATGAAATTCCAAGGAATTGTTAGAGAATTATATAAAATTTAAGTGGAATTTTGAACAACTCTTATCGTTTGATAAGGAATTCCAGTGAAATTCCGAAAAATCCTAATGTAATTACATGAAATTTTATTTTTATTCCAGAGTATTCCCAGTTAGAAACATGGCATTTTAGTGAAATTGAAATTCCCATCGATTTACTGAATTTCAGTAACATTAGAGAAAGTTTCACAAGTGGAATTCCGAGGAATTTTCGGCTAAAAACTTAGAATTTCGGTGAGATTTGGAAAAATTCCCATGTAATGATATGAAATTTTAATATATTTCGAAGGAATTTTGGTGAATTTTCAAGAAATTACTTGAAGTTTCATTAATATTCCCAGAAATTCCTGACTATGGAAAGAGAATTTCAGTGAAATTCCGAAAAATTCTTATGGAAATATGTACTTAAATGAAATTTTGAAAAAAAAATTGAAGTTTCATTAGAATGTCGAGAAATTTTCGACTAATAACGTGAAATTTTAGTGAAATTCTGAGGAATTTCTAAGAAATTACAGAAAATGTCAGTGAAATTCCGAAAAATTTTGTAGAATTTCAGTAAGGTTAAAAAAAAAATTATGGAATTTGAAATTTCTATGGAAATTTGGAGAATTTCAGTGAGATTCAGAGAAAAAAAATTATGAAATATTCGCAGAATTTCCATCAAATTATATATAATTTCACTTTGTGTCGACTTACATAACATACGAGTAAAATTCCAAGGCATTCTCGTCGAATTACATACATGGAATTCCTTGAAATCTTATTGTGGAATTCCAGTGAAATTACATGGAATCCGAAGAAATCCCTTGGAATTAAACATAATATCCGTGGAATTTCCATGGAACCACGAGAAATTTCAGCGGAATTCCGAAGAATTGAATTAAATTTTAGTGAAATTCTGAGTAATTTCAGTCCAATTACATAAAATTTTAATGGCATTCCGAGAAATTTCATGAAATCTTTTACTGTAATTCCAAGCAATTTTTGTACAAGAATTCCATTGAATTTTATGGTGGAATTCCATGGAATCTAATGGTGAAATTCGGAAAAGTATTATGAAATCTTATGGTGAAATTTCTAGGACTTTCTGTTTTTCCAGAGGCGTATTTACGGAGGGGGCTCAGGGGGCCCGGGCCCCCCCAGAAATATATTTTAATTTTTAGTTACTGAATAAGCCTCGAAATAATCACATTAACAAACCATAAACGACTCGGTCACCGTTTGAAAACCTAGAGGATTTACACACGGACCCTCACTCTTTTTTTTTAATTATCAAACACATTGTGCTTATTACATTACAATCTAGTCAGTAAGACTAATTAGCAATTTTGTTTTAACCTAATTTACTACAAAGTTTACAATTCTTGAGGTTCACTCAACAGTTTTCCCCACTTTGCTTAAATTGTAAATCACAATTTTGATGTGTTTATAGCACTATTTTGTTGTGTTTTTCAATTTCAGTTCACTAGCTGCAACGACTCTTAATAGCTTATTACCTAACATGTGCGAAAAATGAATTTTTCCGCACGCGGCTGCCGTTCACCGAACGACGCGTAGTGTGTACATATTTTAAGGAGTTAACCACACCTCACCTGAAAAGACTAGAGGAACTGAAGTTAAAAACACTCGGAGAAAGAAGAGAAAGAGGAGATCTGAGTATACAACTGGACCAGTTCAGTTCATACTACAAAACCAATAAGAGCTAGCAGTGTAAACACAGCCAAAAATACACTGTATAGAGAAATAGCTAACAGCAAAAACCACAACTTATAGTACCGGGTGATTGTCTATATTTTGCACCCACACCTATCTCACCTGTTTGAAAAGATACCCAGAAATGTCATCATGAAAGTTGTAGGTAATATCAGAAAGTTTTCAATGATGTTAGTAACAAGTATACAGGGTGTGTTACAAAAGTGTGGCGGAGTAAAGTTATACTTTTTCAAATGGAAAACCCCGTATATTATTGTCCCATTCGATTAGCCTTTCAAACCAGATTTCAAATATACTAGGTTTTCTTCCTCATAGTCCAGCCTCTGAATATCCCATTTTGAAGAAATAAGATAGATTTTTTACATGAATGATTACCTTTATATTTTGCTGGTTGTCTCTATACTTCACCTTTTTCAATAAAAAATGCAGTTATTCCACCCCTTTTTGTCCCATTTTCTCCTGGACTATAAGGCATAAACCTAAAAACCCTAGTATATTTGGAATCAGGTTTGAAAGGCTAATCCAATGGCACAATAATAAACGGGGTTTTTCATTTGAAAAATAATAACTTTGCTTCGCCACAATTTTGTGACACATGACACACCCTCTATACTTGTTACTAACATCATTGAACACTTTCTGATATTACCCTACAACTTTCCCATTTAACATTTTTTCTGGGTAGGTATCTTTTCAAACAGGTGAGATTGGTGTGGGTGCAAAATATAGACAATCACCCAGTACATTATGGATAATAAACAAATGCAGTGTCCGTGTCATGTAAAGATTTTCTATCGTTAAATGAACAGACAGTTTCATCGGCTATGGCCATTCCGAAGACCATTCTATCCATAAAAGGATACTTCTCACAACCAATACTCACCCTACATTCGAATAACGACATGGGCTTGTCCCTACAATCCATATTACTAATACTATTAACAATTCCATTAACGTAGGCCCTATGGGCGTAATTATCAGCTAATATCGGCAAGAAATCAGATCTTTGCAGTTCGCTCCACTCGCTGAACCACTGCACCATGTAACGGAGCTGTTGACTGGAGTTTATCGAGGAGGACATTGTTCAGTCTTTAGGCAGCAAAACAATGGCAAATTACTTACAGCTGATAAATGCGTTTAAATTGCACAAACTTTCAGCCCGTTATTTTTTTGTTTACTAATCTACATTGCTGTGAAAATGCAAAATATGTGTACATTTGGCAAAGGATTAAAATTTTTATGACAGGAAAATAGTTTTTAGGTTATGTTGACTGTTGACTTTTAGCTAGAAAACGAGTTTCGATATTCTAGAGTTCACAGTCAACGAGTTTCGAAATAATAATGAATTGGGTTCAAAGTTCTTTTTCCCACCTACCTTGTACTTTGATTTTGTTGTTTTGTTCCATGTTTGGAGGGATTCGAAATTGGACTTTAGATTCTACATAAATGATAAAGTATTGTTAATTTTTTTTGTTATCAGGTAAAAGTTTTTCAGTTAGTAACCAACACTCCAATACTTGTGAAAATTAATTGGAACCATGGCTGCTTCATTAGTAAAAGGTAATCAATTCTCAGATTAAATTGTTTTACTAATGTTCAGGAAGCCATATAGTAGGCCCAAATTTCTCTTTTGCTATTTTCCTCAGTTCCAGTTACTTAAACTATCTCCAGCTGGAGAATATTGAAACAGTTGAGAAAATACTCATTTTTCTTCATTCTCCATTGGGAGCATTGTAGGTGCAAAAGCAGAACAATTTAGGACTCATTTACATTACCAGGCCTACTATGATGATCTAATTATTAGGACAAGAGTTCTCTTATTACTAGGCCAATTTTGACCAGGTTCAAGTTGTTAACTATATCTTATCTAGACGATAATAGTGGAAAATGCATATTATAATTTCTCTCTAGGGCCTTTTTCTGTTTTCCATTAAATTAATAATGCGCCTATTATAAAAAAACTTCATCTAGGTTTCTATATTATACCTAGTTATTCAGCAATATAATAAAGAATTTCCTTCTAGGATCTTTCATTGTTGGTGCCAAAAGAACAGTTTTTGGAACTTATGGAGGAAAACTGAAAAACGTCTCAATCACTGAACTACAAACCATTGCAGCCAAGGCTGCACTAGCTTCAGCCAATGTAAAACCTGAAAATGTTGATACAGTGGTTGTGGGTATTGTTGGAGCTGTAAGTATATAGAAGTATTATTATTGCTTCAGTTAAATTAACATTTTTATTAATAATTGGAATACTTTAGGCCTGGTTTGTTCATCCTTAGATAAACTTACTGGTAACTGTCTACTAGATAAATTCATCAATATATATTCCTATTGGTCGGTAGATAACTGGCTAACCAATAGAAGCGTTACCTGGCATTTTATCAGAGGGTGAATAAACTGAATCTTAATGGGATTAGGTAATTTAATTGCCTCAGGGAGATAAAAATTTGCTAACCAAAATACAAAAAAGTTCAAATAAATATAAAGTTTGGTGCGTAAATAGCGCTGATGGCTCGTTTTTTTTCTCTAAATAATGTGCTGAGAAGAAAGTGCCCCTTAGGGGAAAAATGGAAAATAATCATAATAATGATTTGATTCGACTTATACAATTTCGCCGACTTTTCGACCTTTTATTTAGGTCTTTATCAAGGCGGAGCCCAATTAGATTACAATTAAAAGAAAAATCATACTTTCATTTTCTTATAAATTCTCTTCCTCAATATTGGGTACTGAGGACCTACATAAAAGGTCGAAACGTCGGCAAATTTGTGAATAAGCAAGTTTTATTCCACTTATTTGTTAACCCACAATTTCTGTCTGCCACAATAAATACTTCGGAGTACACTATATTTGCATAAATAGCACTGTTAGCATGTTTTTTTTCTTCTAAATTTGTTGAGGTTTGACGCCTGTGATGCTTTCACATACATAAATTATAACTCCACCCCCTTTTCTGTTTTCTCTGTCTTTTCGAAAAAAAAAATAGTTTGGTATGCCATCAGAAACGTCCTTGTGAAGCCAAGACTCTGTATACTAGAATAAAAGCTGGTTGTTCGAGTAGACTTTCAGCTTAGAATTCATCTAACTTCGACAGAATAGAACAAGTGTTGGTGTATAGGAACAATACTTCAGATACATTTGTGTTCAGTTTTTTGGACGACTTTGTTTAACTTTGGCTATTCTGGGAGTACCAAGCTACATAATTACAAGATCATCTTAACTTTTGTTTTTCCTTTTGTTTAGCTCTTCATAGCCTTGCTTTAGATATTTCCTCTGCGCTACAGTTTGGTCAAAATTTATGTAGTAAAAATTTTCATTTGAGAGTTCACTCTTTTGTTTTAGAAATTTGTGAACTACTTCCCTTGATGTAAATATGATCTAAGACTAAATTGGTCGAACTCTATCAGGTACATATCTACCCAATCTGTAGAATATGAACTCAATATTTTCAGTATCATTTTCTAACTTCTTCAGAACTTCCAAGATTTCATTCTTTTCCTGATTCAACCATTGATCTCTGTTTTCTGCATTAATCTCTGGGGTTCCAAAAATCAGCATGTTTTTAGATCTCTCTTCTCTGTCTCTAAGCTCAGCTACTGGATGGCTTGATTTGGATGCTTGTGGCTTTCAAGTGAGTTTGCTGTTGTATAGAATTGGAAAACTTTTCATTGATGAATTCTTTGGGTCATCTATTTGTTTTGTAGTGACCGTTCTTATGTTGTTTTCTCTTTCCTTAAACATTTTTTTTTTTTTTCAAAATTCTCAAAATGCATAACTTTTTCTTGTATCACTTTTAACTCCTTTTCCAGTTTGCTCAAGTTTATCTTTATCTTAGGAACTTCTTTTGAGTAATCCTTAAGTGCTGGAATTTTCATGATGCTTTTAGTAATCTTCTTCAGACATTCCACACAGAAGAAGCTCAGCACATTTGATTGAGAAGTTACAACTCTGATTTCATTAGCTGATATGGATGAGCATTTTCTACAGATAACCTTCGTACAGAGGTCGCATGAGCAACCAAACAGCTCCTTGAGCTCCTTGCTTTTTGTAACGTTCTTTTGGTTTTGGTAACATCTATAAAGTAGCAAATTTCGTTGCATTGTGAGCAATTTAGACCGTTAGACATTTTGAGTGGATCAATGCACCAAGTTCAGTGGAATATTCCAAATCACCACTGTGTAAAATGACCATAGACTAGAGTATTAGAATATTGGAAGAGAAACATTTTCTTGCTAATATTTCCTCAATTAATCATTTCATAACTGTAATTTTTTGTCTATTCCAGGCGCTAGGCTCTCTGAAATATTCTGAGGTTTTTGAATTGTTCTAAAGTAATTTAAAACGCTGTTGGAAAATGTTTTGGAACATTGTAAAAAGTTTTAAAGTGGCTTGAAAAGTTTTTCAGCATTTTAGAAGTTTTTCAGTAACTTCTAAATTGTTCTGATAGATTTCTAAAGAGTTCTAGAAGGTTTCCAGTTCTAAATTAAATCCTAAATTGTTCTGAAATAACTCTGAAGTTTCTAAATTGTTCCAAAAAATTTTGATTTGGATGCTTATTAAAGGTTTTAAGTTCCACAGCAATTTAAATTCGCTCTTGAGCGTCTTCTGGAAGGCGTTTTGTAACTTTTTACCTGAATTCTAAGATTCTGGGCCTTTCAACATTTTTCTGGAGATTCTAGAGTGTCTGAATGTTTTAGAACGTTCTGAATGGTTTTAAAATGTTTTTGGAAATTGTAAATAGGTTTTTTATTATTTGTAGCATTCTTAAATGATTCTGAACTTTCCAAAGAACTTATCAAGGTTCTAAAGTGTTCTGTAGGATTTTAGATGGTTTCCAGTAAGTATTGAATGAAAAACGAATTCTGTGGGAAGTTTTTGTAGGCATCTCAAAAACGACCCTAAAATGTCCACAAACGACATTCAAGACGTGTTTTAGACGTCTGCTTACGTGTTTACTTCTTAAAGACGTGGTATGTTACAAAACCCAACGTCTTTAAAACTCTTCCTAAAAACGTCTTTATGACATGAGTTGCCTTGAAGACGTCTTTGAATCTCTTTTTAATGTAGGTACTAATTCTAAAGATGTCTTTTAGACGTCTTTTTTTGGTCTTCAGACGCGATGCAGACCTAGAAAAGACATCTTTAAGACTTTGTGTGCTGTCTGGGGAATGTTCATGGAAATTGGAAAAATGGGTACTTACTTGTTTATTGGTCTAATATTTCCAATTCCCTATGGGCGATAAAATGTAACAAAATATTTAGACCAAATCAACATATACCCATTTTTCTAATTTCTATTAACATTAACATGGTTTCAAATTTAAGGAAGATGATCTGATATATATTATGTAAGTAGTCCTGAGGATGATCCGAAGAGTGTTTTTTTTGTAGCACTTTTTCTCTGAATTTGTTAAGAATAAACGAGTCCTAGGGGCTTAATGGAAAATATTTTCATGGCAGCAGAAATCCCTTCAAAAAATATTCCCAATGAAAAACAATTCCGGTTTGGCAGCAGGTTATTGTACCTTGGTTAGCATATTCTGCATGTCTAAATATAAAAAATAAGACTCTGGGCCCATCATTTATTAAATAGGCATGAAAAATTACATACCTACTAACAGTATGAGTTACATAAGTATATATAGGTACCTACCTGAACTTATTTAAGCAGTACCTGAGAGTGAGAAACTTACTTTGTGCAGTAAATAGTCAAATATGAAATTTAGACTAATGCCCGTATTACATCTGTGTATTTTTCCGTGTATTTATTCATGTAGTTCAGGATGACAACCGAAAAAATTCGAACGTAACAGAAATCAACATTATGAAAAACAAAATAATGTTGGCACCCTGAACTACATGTATAAATACACGGAAAAATACACAGATGTAATACGGGCATTAGAATATATGTACCAACAAACTATATAATGCTCTAGCATTATTTCATCTACAACAAGTGTTATAGCTGATTACATATCGTACAATGACTTGCTTTACTACACCAAGCCTTTTTTTAAATTAAAATCTTTCTACACAAATTTGGAAATAACTACATGAAATAATCTGCAAGTATCAAAAGTAAATGTTCACACTCGCAGATAATTTGTGTTCTACAGTTGTAGATGAAATGTTGCACACAATAAGTGGGATATATTGTAATCACACCAATGTGAAGGTTGCATGAGGACAAAGTTGTGATATGCGCTTGGGGGATTATTCATTCAGTCCCTTTAAAAAAAAAACATAACTTCACCAATATTTCCATATTATCAGTGCTATAACCGAGGCTATAACCTTGCATAAAAAGATAAGTAGATAATTTTTTAAATTTAACAATATATCGATTTAATTAGGTAACGGCCCAATTAAGGACCGATTGAGAAGTGTTTTATCTCTGCAAGACCATCCGTGGAAGCGTTTCGCTGTATCACAGCTCATCAGCACGGTTTAGGTCCCGCAGAGAGAAAACACAACCCATTTTTGGTTCCATCCCGGAACTGGGTTTGATGCAATTGTGACGAATGCCTTTGCGAGTCGATTTGCTCTAATTTAATACTGGTTTATACAGTTGTTAGTAGCAATTTTTAGTGTGCCGATCAGAAAATAGATGGAGACCCTGTCTTCATTTTACTTGTATATATCAATTTGTTTAGCTTTGAAAAAAAAATCCATAAAAATTAGGATCAGTCTCCTTGAAGAAGAAAATTAACCTAAATATCGTCTGGTTCTATCCATTTAAGCATGTATAAGGCTCAGTTTTATATTAGTTAAGTTATAAAGTTTCTATTAAGCAGGTACGTAGAAAACTTCCATTTGCTTGCTTCGTCATTTCCGCTTTGCTTTGCTAACAATTACCAATCACTCTAAAATTCCAATTCAAAAACCAAATAAAATTTCTAGAATTCTTCGGCAGACGGCATATTCACATCACGTCACGTATCGCTTAAATGCGGCATCCCAATCGAGAAACCAGCTCTTGCCGTCAACCGCTTATGTGGCTCCGGTTTCCAATCCATAATCAACGGAGTCCAGGACCTGCAAACTGGCTTCGCGCAAATCTCCCTAACAGGAGGCGTGGAAAATATGTCGTCTTACCCGCATGCAGTCAGAGGCTTGCGTTGGGGCCTACCCTTGGGCTCCAGCCCCGTGTTTGAAGACTCTCTATGGGCGGGCCTAACGGACACTTATTGTAATTTGCCCATGGGGCTTACCGCAGAAAAATTGGGAGCCCAATTCAAACTAACCAGAGAAGAAGTGGATGAGTATGCTTTGAGGAGTCAGCGGTTGTGGAAAGAGGCTCAAGATGCTGGCAGGTTTAAGGAGGAATTGGTACCGGTGCCTGTAAAAGTGAAGAGAGATATGGTTGATTTGATGGTTGATGAACATCCCAAGCCTCAAACCACTTTGGAGACTTTGAGGAAATTGCCTACTGTGTTTAAAAAAGATGGATTGGTTACTGCTGGCACAGCATCAGTGAGTAATCTTTTATTATGTATTTTTTGTAGGTACTATTGTTGCAATCTCAGCAACACCAAAATAGAACAATTATTGCCAAGACTTTTTGTCAATTTTAGCAACATTTTTCCCTTCATGTGTTTAAAATTTACTCTAAGTATCCTCTATAAGGTTTAGTGTAGAGCCTTTGAGGTAAGCTAATGTACTTAGTAAAATTTTCAGAAACTTTTGGTAAGAAATTAAAAGTAATTTTGACAGAATGTTTATTCACAAATTCCACAATATTGAACAGTAGTGGAAAGAACTTAATCAAAATCAAATCAAAACATGCTTTATTGTCCCAAATTCATGGTATTTAGGTATTTATTGATAAAGTTGAACTCACGATGAACTAAACTATATAAAATAGGGAACTACAATTAATATTGAAAATAAAAAAATAGTTATAATATTACAGGATCAAATTATAGAATACATGAATCATCTAACATAAATCATCCAAACATACATACAATTATACATTACATTACATACACATACACACATTGGGTATTCGAAAAATTTCTTACCACTTGGCACCAATCATCTTTTGTCTTTTGTAACATAAAATAGTGAAAATCAAGAGAGATACACAAATCAACTATTATTTCATATTTCTAGGGAATCTGTGATGGTGCTGGTGCAGTCGTTTTAGCAAGCGAACAAGCCTTAAAAGACCACAACCTCAAACCCTTAGCTAGAGTAGTGGCTTACTCGGTCGTTGGTGTAGAACCTTCAATAATGGGCATCGGTCCAGCTCCCGCTATCCGTGCCATACTCAAAGCCACAGGAAAATCCCTGAATGATATCGACTTGGTCGAAATCAACGAGGCATTTGGAGCTCAAACTTTATCTTGCGCCAAAGATTTAGGCTTGGACATCAATAAGCTTAACGTTGACGGTGGAGCTATAGCTTTAGGGCATCCGTTAGCTGCTTCTGGTAGCAGGATAACTGCTCATCTTGTGCACGAATTGAGGTAAATAATTATTGTGCTCGATTTCTAAGAATGATAATTAATTTTGTTTTGCTTTCAGACGCAGGAAAGCTAAATTTGGTATTGGTTCAGCTTGTATTGGAGGCGGACAAGGAATTGCTATTTTAGTTGAAGCTATGTAAAAAAAAAAAAATATTTCTTGTGATACTTATTTTTATATGTAATAAATTAGGCATTTTATAAAACGGTCTTGTTTTAATTCCATATATATTATCATTGCTTCAGTGAATGAGGTTTATTTTTTTTTAGAACACTCAATCTGATGGCGCTCTAGTGGCACGACACGCAGCTCTACATACTGGAATCCCAATTACGGCACCTGCTTATTCTGTTAACCGATTATGTGGCTCTGGATTCCAGTCTATTGTCAATGGAGTTCAAGTAAGTCTTAACGTAAATCCAAAAAAAATCATTATAGTAAAAATTCTAGGATGTTGAAAGTGGCTTTGCTCAAATCAGCTTGACCGGAGGTGTAGAGAACATGTCAGCTTATCCTCATGTAGTCAGAGGCTTACGCTGGGGCTTACCTTTAGGTTCTAGCCCAGTCATGGAAGATTCTTTATGGCTAGGCTTGACAGACACTTATTGTAACTTGCCTATGGGCATGACAGCTGAAAAACTAGGAGCCCAATTCAATATTACCAGAGACGAAGTGGACCAATTTGCATTGAGGTCTCAAAGGCTTTGGAAAGAAGCTCAAGATGCCGGAAGGTTTATTGAGGAATTGGTGCCAGTGCCTGTGAAGGTTAAGAGGGAGATTGTTAATTTGAGTGTCGATGAACATCCTAAACCACAAACTACTATTGAGGGGTTGAACAAGTTGCCTACTGTGTTTAAAAAGGACGGTTTGGTTACTGCTGGATCAGCATCGGTAAGGACTCTTAAATTAAAATGGTGAAATTGCTTGAAACCAAAAATAGCTTTTTGATATATATCTAGGACGCTAACAACAACTACATTTCGTTTCCATAATTCCCCCTCCTGTAGTTCAATTAATGCATACTCAACACAAAGCTGTTGGGCTTAACTTTGCTGTCAATTTGCATGCTTGGTACTGATCTCCAAGGATTTTGACTCATATGTTTAGAGAATTCACACATTGTCTTGTTGTCTTGTTTCACTGAGAAATTTTGTAGTGTTTTTTTTGGGTTATTTCATCTACCTACTCCATTTGATTTTCTTTGTCATTTGTTGGCATGTTCGGTAGTTGCATCGGTATGTGTGCATATTTAAATATTGTGGGATAAGGATGAGATATTGAGTTAATATTTGTTATACTCTCCCCCCCTGGTCTCAAGCTTGATTAGAAGAGAGCAGTTTAAAGTTCTTTTTCTTAGGTCTTTCCCTTTTTCTTATAGCCACAATACCATGCTCTCTTTCTGTAACAATGGTTGGCTCCAAATTTGATAGCTTGTTGGAGAGACCACTTTTATTATTTCACATGGTCCATCTCGTTTAGGATGAAACTTTGACGTAATTCCTTTTGCGGCATTGCTTAAAGCATAATTTCAAGTAAAATCAAGGAAAATTCATTCTTTCACATTTCAATTTTTTTCTGGAAAACTGGCAAAAGAGGAAAAACAGGAAAGTCAGGAGCTCATTATCAAAAAATTTCAAAATTTTCCAATGAAAAATCGCTCGAGGAAAAATCCTGAAAAAATAACTTTTTCAAGTAAAATTAAGAAAAACTCATCCTCTCACATTTTATTTCTGAAAAACTATTAAAGCAAAACTTGTGAAATTTGTCCAAAAGAAAAAGGAAAGTGAGGAGCTCATTGTAAGAAAATTTCCTCGTAAAAAATTCTTGAAAATTGACTTTTTCAAGAAAAAATTAAAGAAAATTCATCCTCTCACATTTCAATTTTTTTTCTGGAAAACTGACAAAGCAAAAATTGTGAAATTTTTCCAGAAGAAAGAGGAAAGTGAGGAACTCAATATAAGAAAATTTCAAAATTTTCTAGTGAAAAATGACTCCAGAAAAAATTCTGGAAAATTGAATTATTTAAACAAAATTAAGGGAAAATTCACCATTGAACATAATTTTTTTTTTTGGGAAATTGGCAAAGGAAAAATTTTGAAAATTTCCCAAGAAAAAGAGGAAAGTGAGGAGCTCTTTATAGAAAAATTTCAAGACTTTCCAGTGAAAAATCACTCCAAGAAAAATTCTGACTCACTCCAGGAAAAAATTTGGAATATTGACTTTTTCAAGTGAAATTAAGGAATATTCATCCACTCACATTTCAATTTTTTTCTGGAAAACTGGAAAGGAAAGATTGTGAAATTTTTCCAAGAGAAAGAAGAAAATAGGGAGCTCATTATAGCATAATTTCAAAATTTTCCATTGAAAAATCACTCCAGGAAAAATTTTGGAAAATTGACTTACTTAAGAAAAATTCACCCTCTTACATTTTAATTTTTTTCTGGAAAACTAGCAAAGGAAAAATTTTGAAAATTTTCTAGGAAAAAAAGAAAAGTGGGGAACTCATTATAGGAAAATTTCAAAATTTTCAAATGAAAAATCACTCCAGAAATTCTGAAAATTGACTTTTTCAAGTAAAATTAAGGAAAATTCATTCTTTCACATTTCAATTATTTTCTGGAAAACTGGCAAAGTAAAAATTGTGAAATTTTTCCAGGAGAAAGACGAAAGTGAGGAGCTTATTATAGGAAAATTTCAAAATTTTCCAGTGGAAAATTACTCCAAGGAAAACTGTTCAAATTTCAATTATTATCGAAATATTCTGGAAAATTGACTTTTTTAAACAAAATTAATTTTCTTACTTTTTAGTTTTTTTCTAGAAAACTGGCAAAAGGAAAATTGTGAAAATTTTTCAGAAAAAAAAGGAAAGTGAGGAGTTCATTATAGCAAATTTTCAAAATTTTACAATGACGTCATCGATGACGTAAGTAAAAACCTTCGCGCCGTGCAACGAACTATATGTTTGTTTGAAATTTCAGACATAAAAAAACCTAATTTTCAAAAAAAAAGGCAAATGATGACGTAAGTACAAACCCTCGTGAAACTAACTTTTTTTTACGCGTCTCATTTCCTTTTCATCAAACCCCATAAAAAAAAAGTGGGAAATTCGGAGCCTACTTGCGCTTCTGCATTTATCCATTTATCTCTGCTTAAATTGAAATAACCAGCGGATTGTCCTGTAGTTTCACACCAAGTAGAATTCATTGAAAATCTCACAACAGGTAATTTTTCAGGTTAAGACCCTTAATCATCTTAAACTAAAATAGCAAGTCTTGACTTAAGGTCTCTGTTTTTTCGTTCAACCATATTAGCAGAACCATGGTAAAGCGTTATGAATGCTTGCTTAATTTTTAGGATGAAACACACTTGTTGCAAATGGCAGATATAAACTGTACTTCATTATCGCTAATCAATTTCCTGTATTCTAAAGAAGATTTCATTAACTAGAATAGTAGCACAACTTTCGGCAGTAGCTTGTTTTAAGGGAAACAACTCTACCCATTTTGTTGAAGTTTCTTCTACTATAAATATCCATGTTTCTTCCCCAGGCGGAAGTAGTAAAAATAAGTCAATAGCCAATGTCTCAAATCTTTGAGCATAAACGAGTGTTTGCAACAATTCTGCAGGTTTTTGGTTTGTTGGCTTGTATCTTTGACAATATGTGCAAGATTTCAAGTAGGTAATCTACTATGTATCTTCGCATCCCAGAAACATAGTATTTTTTCGATATCCTATGAAATGCTCGTTCAAAACCATAATTTCCGGCGCTTGGATCATGATGTTCTTGAAGAACCTTTTCTCTTTCCTGTTTAGGCACTACCAGTTGTACATCTTCTTCGTCGCTTTCAGGAAATATCTGTATAAAACTCTTTGTGTCATAATATAACCTCTTCCTGTCCATTTTCTAAACTCTTGATCTACATCACTCGAATCTTTGAAGCATTTGATTATTTTCACTATATCGGGATCTTTTAATTGCTCTTTTCGCGATATTCAATTTTAATATCATAACTTTGAATCTGTAATGCCTATCTGGCTTAGTTTACCTGTTGGTAACTTTATATTCAACAGCCATCTCAAAGCTTGATGATCTGTCTTTATGGTTACAAGTGAACACTCTATGTACCCACGAATTTTGTTAAAAGTCCACACTGCAGCCAAGGCTTTTTTTTCAGAAGTAGAATTATTTCTTCCTTTAGCAGTCAACAATCTACTGGCATATTCGATAGGGTGTTATTTTTTTTTCACTATCACCTTGAAGTAAACAAGCTCCAAGAGCATAACCGTTTCACTCGGTTCTTATTATGTAAGGCTTGGTATAATCACACTGTTTGAGAACGGGTGCCGTGGTGAGCAATTTCTTTAAATTATCAAAGGACTCTTGTTCAACGGATGTCCATCTCAAAAAAAAATTTTTTTTTTTCATGAGGTTACTTAATGGGCGTGACATTCCAGCAAATCCATCAATGAAGCGTCGAAACCAACTTGCAGTTTGTAAGAACGATTGCACTTCATGTAAATTTCTTGGTGGAGGTCTTTTTGCTATGGCTGATATTTTTTCTCAATCTACCAAAAGACCTTGAGGTGTGATCAGCTGTCCCGAATATTTTACCTGAGCACATGCGAATACGCACTTCTCGCGGTTTGCACCTAGTTTGAATTGGTAAAGTCTATCAAATACTGCTTCAAGATCTATCATATGATTTTCAAACAAACTCGATAACATGATTAAATCATCGAGGTACGCAAACACTATACCTACGATTTCAATATCATCGATGTTTCGTTTAAGTCCATTCTTAAATCGATCCATGAGCTGTTGAAACGTTGCTGGCGCATGTTTGAGTCCGAATGGCATTCTCGTATAACAAAAAATACCAAACGTTGTTGTAAAAGCTGTTCTATCGCGATCTGGCTCATAAACACCAACTTGATGGTAACCGGATTTGAGATCAATGGTTGTCATATAAAGAGTCTGTTTCGCGGCGTTTAATACCTCATATACAACTTTATTGTATTTTGGAAGAAGATTTAAGAAAAACTACCTATGCATTTTAACCTACAAAATTTTCCTTTAAAAGAACACAATGAAGAAAACTATGCTTGAAGCACTCCACAAACTCCAAGTCAACTATTTATATTCTTAATAGAAACAAATCTATTTTTTAGGGTATTTGTGATGGTGCCGGAGCAGTGATTGTGGCAAGCGAACAAGCCGTAAAAGACCACAATCTGAAGCCTCTAGCTAGAGTAGTAGCTTTCTCGGTTGTCGGTGTGGAACCTTCAATAATGGGCATCGGTCCGGCTCCAGCTATTCGTGCCATTTTAAAGGCCACTGGAAAGTCTCTAAACGATATTGACTTAGTTGAAGTAAGAACATTTATTTTGATTAACTTGCAAGAACCGCTACATATTTCTTTGTAGATTAACGAAGCTTTTGGAGCTCAAACTCTAGCTTGTGCCAAGGATTTAGGTTTGGATTTGAACAAATTGAATGTGGACGGTGGAGCTATTGCTCTAGGACATCCGTTGGCGGCTTCGGGAAGCAGGATAACAACTCACCTTGTGCACGAATTGAGGTAATTGTTATATGAATTTGAGAGAAAAACTAATTTGTTGTTTTTTTCAGGAGAAGGAAAGCCAAATTTGGAATTGGTTCGGCTTGTATCGGTGGTGGACAAGGAATTGCGATTATGGTTGAGGCTTTATAAGGTCAAGTGCTAACTTTTTATATATATTAAGTCAAAAAAAATCCATATTTTTATTTACTTTTTACAACTTTTATTAAACTATTTCAATTTTAATTATTGTATTTAATTTTTCATTGTGGTGTGGGAAATTCTGAGTGAATTTACACCCTCAAAAACTAAGTTATTTTTGTTTCGAAGATGAAATGTGCCTTATTTGAGGTACAAACATTTTTTGCAACTGCAACGCTGGCATCTCTAAGAAAATATGCATCAGAAAGCCACAGAATATCGACAGGACTACGTCTTGAAAAAATGACGTTAACTAAAAACAAAAAAATAATTTTTTTTTTCGAATCTCGCTTGTGCTACTTACCAATACAGAATCCGATAAAAAATATGGCTCGTAAGCGGCAGCGGTCCTATAAAACACTATGCCGAATTGCACCACGTAAGTGCTGTAAGTGAAATTGCCTAAAAACAATACCCAAGGCAATTCGCAAACGGTTTTCACTAGATCTAAAACGTTCATGAATAAAAATATTTAAATTTCAATTTTGTCCCTTCGTTCACCTGTTTTTTGCTGGGACATCGCCAAAATTCCAGCACCAATTCCTAAAGCGTACAAGGGCTTTACTAAACCTATCAAAACTATGGTGATGGTTCTAGAATATTCTTGTGAGGAAATTAAAATTATGGCAATGGGTAAAGTACAGAAGACACACTTCAGTAATAGGAGATGCTATAAAATAATGCCGATTATTTAATTATTGCAAAAACGAATAGGTTTACTTACTTTCCCAGACAATGTAACATTTCCTTTGTCCAAAGCAAAATAAAAACGACCAATGGCTAAACCAACCATGTACGAAGCCATATTGGCATAAGTAGATGTATAAACTGCGTTGAATTTGAACGTTCTGAATTTATCGGTTTTGGAGTTCCTATAGAAAAACCAAATTATTAACTTGGTTGACAGAGAAAAGATTTTTCGATATCTGGCATTGCAGTATGCAGCAAGCGACAAGTATTGCCACAATAATGTAATGATGACACACCACAAAGCCACAATAGTGAAAACTACTTACTCTGGGGTTATTCTGTAAATCATGTCCAAACCATATTTATAGCACATAAACGCAGGAATCATAATGCCTATAAAAATAACCAGAATCAAAACAATTTTAGTTCTTTGACGAAATTTCCAGATAATCAACATTATCAGCAAAGACATCAGGTACAGTTGCGTGTCGGCGGATAAGTACCAAGTAATAAGATAACACTGAAACAAAAACGGCCTGCTTCGAAAAAAAATTTGTTGCTGAAAACTCAAGTTTACCTCCACATAGAAAACTAACCATGTTGTTGTAATCGTAGTGATTGTTGACGAATAAAATGTTGGCCCACCAATTTTTCTGGCACCTTTCGTACTCTCGGTCGACGTAAAAGGACTTTACAGGGCCTTGGAAAATGCCTGCAACCCATGACGATTTGCATAGGAAAACCATTACAAAAACAGGCGGCAGAAGTCTAGAAGAAAATATTTATTTTTTTGACAGATATGGTACCAGATTCAAAAAGTTTATACAGGGTGTCCTAAGATAAATTCACACATTGTGCAAGTGAATATCTCGAAATCAAGATGATAAAATTTGCTGAAATTTGGTTTTATAAACATGCGATTTTTTGGAATAAAATTACTGCCTTATTTTCGATGAAAAACCCTGTATATTTTGTCATCGTCAGGAAGCCTGATTTGTCTACTTTACAAAAATGTGTAATTTTTTTTTATTTTCTTGAATCCACAACGTAAAAATTGCACGTAAAGAAGATACCATATCATAACTGGCCAAAAAATATGCAAAATACTTCAAGCAAATAGAGGGATTTCAAACTTTCAGGATTGAATCACATTTGGAAGCTTCTGAAAAATACTTCAAGCAATCAGAAAGGCTTCAAACATTCAGGATTTATCAAGTAGGGTCTCTTTATTAAGCAAACCAAACCGCGAGTGGATCGCAGGCTCCGAAATGGAATTATGATTTTTTTTCTCACTAAGATACAAAACAATCATGAAAAATTTGTATTTAATCACCTTTGGAAGCTTCTGAAAAATACTTCAAGCAATCAGAGGGACTCCAAACTTTCAGAATCTATTGCAATAGATTCTGAAAGTTTGGAGTCCGTTTGATAAAGAGACCCTACTCATGAGTAGGGTCTCTTTATCAAACGGAACAAACCGCGCATGGATCGCAGACTCATAAATAGGATAAAGAAATTTTTTTGATGAAATCATGTAAAATTTCTATTAAATCACCTTTGGAAACTTCTGAAAAATACTTCAAGCAATCAGGGAGACTCCAAACTTTCAGGATTTATTGAGTAAGGTATCTTTATCTAACAAACCAAACCGTGAGTGGATCTCAGGCTCCGAGATGGAATTATGATTTTTTTCTTATTCAGATGCAAAAAATCATATCAAAGTTCTATTAAAATACCTTTGAAAGCTTCTGAAAAATACTTCAAGCAAACAGAGGGACTTCAAACTTTCAGGATCTATTGAGTAGGGTCTCTTTATCAAACGGAACAAACCGCGAATGGATCGCAGACTCATAAATGGAATAAAGAAGTTTTTTTGATGAAATCATGTAAAATTTCTATTAAATCACCTTTGGAAACTTCTGAAAAAATACTTCAAGCAATCAGGGAGACTCCAAACTTTCAGGATTTATTGAGTAAGGTCTCTTTATCTAACAAACCAAACCGTGAGTGGATCTCAGGCTCCGAGATGGAATTATGATTTTTTTCTTATTCAGATGCAAAAAATCATGTCAAAGTTCTATTAAAATACCTTTGAAAGCTTCTGAAAAATACTTCAAGCAATCAGAGGGACTCCAAACTTTCAGGATTTATTGAACATGGTCTTTTTATCAAACAGAACAAACCGTGAATGGATCGCAGGCTCAGAAATGGAATTATGATTTTTTTTTCACTTAAATGCAATAAAATCATAGAATTTTTTTTATTAAATCACCTTTGAAAGCTTCTTGAAAATACTCCAAGCATTCAGAGGGACTTCAATATTTCCGAATCTATTAAGTAGGGTATTTTTATTAAACATAACAATGCGCAAATGGATCCCAGGCTCAGAAATGGAATTATGATTTTTTCCTCATTTAGATGCAAAAAAATCAGACAGTATTTTCATTTCAAGAAATCGCGTCTGTAAAACCATAGGTATTTCATCAAATTTTAGTATTCGGCAATACTAGGAAAAAAAAACTTCAAAATAATCCTCATTCTCCCAGAACAAACCGCATCTCATTATCTTTTCTCGTTTAGCTGCTTACGATCAAACCACTTTCTGACCTAACTCGAAGAAAATAACATAGCGATTTCCATTTGCAGAATCAGTGCAAAAAAAAATGTATTTTTATCCTTATACATATTTTACATGCTTTTAGAAAAAGATGCGAATGCACTCAGTGCACACTGATCAATAAATAGAAATCGAAAGCAGCTATTCATCTGTGTCAGTTTATCTAAGGACACCATCTGTATAGTAAAAACAACACATTGATTCTCGAAACGAGGATTCAGAGTTTTTATGGAGAACAATTAAAACATTCTCTCTTAGTTCCATGCAAAGGCTCATATAAGTGACAACAACAAAAAATGTACCTTCATAAAAACGCTGGTTTCCTAGTTTCAAGAACTATAGATAATTTTTTAATTACTGGGCTGGTACGAAAAATTAAACCCACCAAATTTTAATCCCTTAAACTCCTCACAGATTGACCCAACACTTTCAATAGCCCTCATTCCTACATACATATAGAAGTTCAGACTTCTTCAAGGAAACCCACCCGGCTTGATCTACCCTGATTATCAGCCGTCCACTCGAAAAATCCTCTTGCCAAACAATGGGTTTGAACTAACTATATAATAAATGCATTCTGATACATTTTTTGTACCCGGGGATCAAGAAACAGAGTATAAATTAACCCAATACAATAATGAATATTACCTTAAATAACGATTCAGAAGTGTGACAACGATATATCTCAATTTGGAATCTCGATACACCTCCATAGATTGACAAACATGATAGCTCAGAAAAAAAGCCGATATCAAAAAGAAGGTTTGCACCAGGAATACAAACAGCGTGGCCATGAACAGTCTTATTTGGTTTCTGTAGGCCTAAAAGAAATTTTTACAACGATCTAGTCATATAAGTAATAAGTTCTATCTACGACATCCGTTCAATAAATCATCGTTGTTATTCACCACTTGCTGAGGGTAATATAAATTAAGTAGTTTTCACCCCCAGAAGAGACATGCCATTGTGGCTCAGGTTTATTTAAAAGGTCGTAGATAAAATGTCGTACTCGACTAGCAGCTTAAATAATACACTATTATTTTCTTACCAATTCAATGTATTCAGTGCTAGAAACGTAACCGTTGATATAGCTACACGTGGTATGACAAAATATCACCAAAAGCATATTATAGAAACGCAGGCCTTGGATGAATTTTAATTTTTGAAAATTAGGCCTGTCATTTGAGATCGACAATTTTTTCCAATTGGTTTTCAAAGAAAATATTTGTATCAATGTATTTTCTGCAAAAAAAAAACTTCAATACAAACGAAAAAGGATGGGTTAAACCCACTCATTTACGGCAGCTTAAAGGAAATCTGCCACAGACATTTACATTATAAGATGTCAAATTACATCATTGAGTAGGTTTTACACCATAATCATAATTATTTAGTTACCAATTTTATCAAAATTTTCCGACTTCCTTCTATGGTGTTGGCAAGACACATAAACAACCATTGCAACATACAAAATAATAACCAACCTACAATATACAATTACCATAGATAAACAAAAAAAAAAAAAAAAATTTGGATCTTACATTAGAACTGCATCAAATACTCCAATTTGATATGAGTACTTTGAATGTTTGCAGTCCAGGTCTGCAATAACACTTTTCAGACCTAAATGCTGGTATTTTGAATCGAAGCATTTCGTTAAATTGCCATCAGGACAAAATTGGCTCACGCAAACGGCATGAAACAATTCATCGTGATTGTAGAATTTTGAATGTGCTACAGTTTGCTCTATAACCTTCCAGTATCCTGATTTATTGTGTGGATCGTTTGGCTGTAAGATTAGGGAGATTCTACAGTAATCTGCTGGACAATTTGCTCGATTGTCTATTGAGAAAATTGGTGGTAATTGTTTGAAGTATTTGCCTGGAAAATTTCTATTTATTGCAACAACTACCTACTCAATTGAAAATTTTAAAATGCTTACTTGTAACATCAATATCACTTCTAACAAACTTTATTGAAAATACCAAAATAAATAATAATAATTGCATTGTAACACTAAACTCGATTACTGACTAACCAATTGAAAATTATTTTTTTTTTTTTCACTACACTGCAATTTCAATTATGAAATGCAAATAAGCAATAATCAAAATTAATATGTTGACAGTTGTAGTCCGCTTATCTATATTCAATTAGGTACCTATATAAAAAAACACGATCATTTGGTATATATTCAACATTCTTTTTTTATCAAAATTGAAAACGTGTTTACCTATCTATTATATTTTATACAGGATGTTTTTCTTTTTAAGTAAATTGTTAATATTATTATATTTTAAAAACTGGCTTTTGATTATTGTTACAATTGGAAACGTGGATGCGAATAGTGTCCAGAATGTACGGAACGTGGCACTGTCCTCTGGGAAAATTGCGAATACGCATCGTCCTGACCTGGAGGCATTAATAATACTGGATGAATGCTCAGAGACTTTCTGGAACCCGCTACACTGGCCGAATCGCTCACGTAGGCGCTATTCATCTCACCTACAAAACGTGAATGAATGATTATTATGTCAATAATGATTTACAAAATGAGACAGATACCTATTGACCCGCTATTTGTATTTTATTTGAAGAACGATAAATTTTTTCAAAATACAGTAGAACCCTGATTATCCAAGTCGCAATTATCCGAGCTCTGGATCAACCGACCAGTCTAAAGACCCAAAAAACTTGATAATCCAAGGTACGCACGTGCATACTCCGTATAAACCGAGTTTCTATAATTAATATACAGGGTTTTTTTTTATATATTGACACCCCACCTACAGCCTTCACCTTTACAGGTAAAAGAAAGGTGTAAATACAAAAGTTGTACAGTTTTGGCTGAATTTTTAGAAACCATGGTCAGAAACAAAAGTTGAATGTCAGAAATGTGAAATTTTGCATGCTTCCAGCTTTTTCCAAATGGGATGCCCTATATTTCATTCTATATTCTTGAAGAGCACAATGCCCCGATTCCAAAAATATATAGTTTGTCTATATTTAATTGAACAGTCTCTCATATATTCAGCTCCAAAAATTGTAAAAATACTATCCTACTACTGATTTTGTGAACCACATTTCACATTTCTGACATTCAGTTTCTGTTTCTGACCCTGACCATGGATTCTAAAAATTTAGCCAATACTGTACAACGTTTGTATTTACACCTTTCATCTACTTGTAAAGCTGAAAGCTGTAGGTGGGGTGTCAGTATATAAAAAAAAACACCCTGTACTTGAACAATAACTTATTATATAGTCAGAATTTGTAAGATTATCCACTTTTTGTCAATTTGCCTTTTAACCGGAATTAGTAATATAATGTTACTTTACCAAACTAGTAATAGACCGTCAGATAGTGACTTATTTAGGTGCCCCATTTTCGCATACAAGCCTCGAAGAGGGTTAACAAGTACATCAATTTTGAGTAGGTTGAAGGTATTTTTACGAGTGGCTCCTGGGGATAACATATGGAAAATTCAATTTTACTCATGTTACTTTAAATGTACTTTTCTATTAGCGACACTCAAGAAAATATGTTTTCTTGCTACCGAAGTTGTAGATTTTCATCCTTTTGATAGGCTTGTGTGGAAAAATCGCCCAAAATCTCGATTTTTCCTTACAAGATTTCGCCCTTATTCCAAACCTTTAGCCACCTGCAACACCCCCTTTCTTTGTTTTTACGAAGCCAGGTTTTATTAATTAATCCTTTGGTAAACACGGCTTGCGAGAAAATATGTGCACTAGGACGTCTTTCATTTCTTTTACGGAAAATCGAATTTTCCAAATGGACTCCAGGTGCCATTCGTGAAAATTCCTTCATCCTAATCAAAATCGATGTACTTTTCAACCCTTTACGAGGCTTGTATGCGAAAATGGGGCACCTAAATATGTCACTATCTGACGGTCTATAATATAATGTGACAAGTTAGTCAAGTACAAACGAGTGGATTGTTGCGGCACTTATGGGTGGACCTCTGCGGGACGAGCGCAGCGAGTTCCGCAGCCATCTATTCATCAATATGTTATTTAATTACGATACTAACCTGACTCACTCAAATGTGAGTTATTCTCATTAGTTTAAAAACTACACGTTTCAGGTGAATGTCTTACTTGAACACTTCAACAGTATATTGGTGAGTAGCAGGCCTGGATTAAGGGGGGTTCTACCAGTTCTATAAAACCGGGCCCAACGTTTCAAGGGGCCCTTGCGAGATCGAAGATTAAACAAAAAAATTTAAGCTTGAATGTACCAGAAACATTGCCAAAATTCCCCCAAAAGCTGGCTGACCTCTATTATACAAGTCAGTGGTGACAATAGAGTATCTCATTTTTGATTGTTTTCAGAATATCCGCCATGTTTTGTCGAAAGTTATCTGTGTTTACCATTTAATCCTATGGAGTTTTATGTAATTTTGTGTTGATATATTTCTGTCTTTGTTATTATTTCTGCCTGCTATTGACTATTTTGTGATAAAAAAAATAACATTAGCTCGTGTTTAGTGCTTTACTGCAGCAAATCTCGGAATATAAGCTCCTGTGTGGGAAGTAACATTCTTGGGAAGTAACGGTTTGTCTATACGTCCAAAATTTCTAGAACTAAGATTGTCTAGTCTCATTGAATGGTAGAATAAGATATTAAAATGATATAATATGTATGTACAGGACAGGGTCTGTTCCTGGATAAAACCCTACAACTATTGTATTTAACTTTTTATATATTTTTTTTTGTTTAAGTGGTAGAAGCCGCACTAATTATAAGGAACATACCCTGTACATAAACCCATTAATAATACAATAAATATGCATCTAACTAATAAAGAACAAATACATTATTGGATGAGTTCGACAAAACATGGCGGATGGGCGGATCTTAGACCCTATTGTTGCCACTGCCTTGTATAGAGCCTCTATACATCTATGATATACTATATGCATCTATGGTCTCTGAAGGTAATATGTTTCTGACCATGGATTCTAAAAATTTAGTCATTACTGTATAACTTTTGTATTTACACCTTTCATCTACTTGTAAAGGCTGTAGGTGGGGTGTCAATACATAAAAAAGCACCCTGTACATACATACAGGGTGTACCATTTAAAACGAAACATCCTAAATATTTGATGTCACGTTTATTTTTTTTAAAAATCGCTCATACACGTAATTTGATTTTCAAAGAGGAAGTTTTTTGCAATCATTTTCAGCATATGAACTTCAACCCTCTGGGCGGGGTAGGACCAACTCTCACTATTTCAAATGGAACAAGGGGTCGAGTGATACCTCTTTCAAAAGAGTGTTCAATTCTCTTTTATTTGATATCATTTGAAAGAAAATTGAGCGCTCTTTTGAAACAGGTATCACTCGAACCCCTGTTCCATTTGGAATGGTAAGGGTTGGTCCCACCCCCGCTAGAGGGTTGAGTTAGTGCTAAAAATGTTTCACTCACACAATCAAATTACGCATACAAACGATTTTTAATAAAATAAAAGTGACATCAGATATTTAGCCTGTTTCGTTCTAAATGGTATACCCTGTATACATATATGTATTCGGATCAGTGGCGACGCCAGGGTTTTACGTTAGGGGGGGCCAGGCTGGGCCAGAAAAAATTAGGGGGGGGGACTTGTTCTTACTTTATTGCTTTTCTTCTTTGAAATAAAAAATGGGAATTGCAAAGTTTATCCGTATATTTTTGCACTCCACTTGAACTGCTTAATTGAATGTATCAAAAAGGTTTTTATTTGGATTTTGTATACAGGGTGTCCGTTTTTCGAGGACAACCATTGGAATATAGGAAACGGTAAGAGATACAAAATCGGAATCAATGGCCAAATGTGTTACTGCTTTTGGGAGATCAAGAAACTCCAAATACAATTTATAAAAATGCAAACCTCTATTTGAGAAAATAAAGTTGATGATGATAGGCAAAAGACGAAACGTCGGATTTCAAATTTGGTTACACCATAATGTAGAGGGGAGAAAGTTGCCCCAATAAAGTGAAGTTTATTTGAAATACCTTTACAAATGAGTCCAGGAAAATATAGAAATGGATTTTACAAAATTTTGATTCCCATGTATCTCCGGAAGTATTCGGAATTTTCCAAATTTCGAAGTAGCGTTTTGTTAAGCAAGAAATTGCGCAACTTTGTCCCAATTTCACCGAACCTGTATCTCTTACCGTTTTCTATATTCCAATGATTGCTCTCGAAAAACGGACACCCTGTATAAATAAATTTTCTTGATACCTATTCAATTAACCTTTCAGGGTCGGTTTCTCGATAGCTAGTCCAGGGTAAACGTGTCCAATTGCAATGTTTACCCTGCAGTTATGGTTAACTGCTCTGACCTGGGGGTAACTTGCTTGCTATTGAGAAACCGGCCTTTCAGGTGAGGTGCCAAAAATACACAGGAAAACCCTGTACCTGTCGACCCAAATATGTTTGGGGGAATCCCAGGAAAGCGAAAGCATAGTCGTGGTTGCCTGGCGCCCACCAAATATCAAATTAACCAGAGAGCAGAGGTTACGCATGTTGCATTGCATTGTTGTCGACATGAGGGCAAGTTTTCAGAGGGGGGCCAGCTAAATTTCAGGGGGGGCCTCGGCCCCCCCTGGCGTCGCCACTGATTCGGATTATCCGAGTTTTCAATTATCCAAGGTGGTTACCCCCCACATTACCTCGGTTCTACTGTAATCATGTGCAAATATAGAAACAAAGTTTGGAATACGAAATAATTTAAATTCTTTGAAATGTGTTTTGTTCCAGCAGAGTTTGACATTGGTAATGCAGAATTATTTCTTTTATATAGATATATTGTTTATTACTTCTCTCTGTGTTAGAAACAATAGGTTCCATGGCGAGATGAAATGGTTATTTTCTCTACAGTTAAATATATGAAATTTTCAGATTCTCATAACTCTTTCATTAAACAATTTTATCTGTAGAATGAGAAGGCAGAACGTAACAATGATGAGTCCAGAGCCTATGAAAATATAAATGAGAGTAGAAGAGGAGCTTTTTTCTAATTCTGACTGTTGAACTGGAAGGACGTACCGGGTAATTGTTATACCGGGTGTCCCACCGAAAACTGTCAATGGCCTATATCTTGAAAACCGTTATCGATAAAAAAATAAATAAAAACCGGGTTGGAGGGTTGGAAGGGGTAACCAAAACAAGGTACTTTTCAGCTCTTCCCGAACCACCCCTTTGGCCGTAGCCCACCCTAACCTCATAATCTTAAATGGCACTATGGGTCATGTGATAGGTACCTTGTTTGAAAGGTTTTCCAATTCTTCAAATGAATCTGCAACAAAAAATTATCCAGATTTAAATGTGGCTCTACTTTTGATGAAAACCTCATTTGATCGGGTGGAACAGGTAAATGTGATTTAAAATCGATTTTAAACAAAATAGATCTTTATGAAGAATTTCGAAGAAATCATCAAGATTTTATTTTCTTGAACCCCTTTCCCCTTACTGTACCTGACAGTGTTCACCTCCCCAAGAGAGCAAATTTGTTATCTCGAAAAATGAGCTATTTTCTGACAATTTAAATTTGTATCTGGATAATTTTTTTTTGCAGATTCGTTTAAAGAATTAAAAAACCTTTCAAACAAGGTATCACATGACCCATAGTGCTATTTAGGATTTTGAGGTTAGGGTGGCTACCGCCAGAGGGGTGATTCGGGAAGGGGTGAAAAGTACCTTGTTTTGGTGCCCTCTTCCAACCCTACAAACGGGTTTTTATTTATTTTTTTATCGATTACCGTTTTCAAGATATAGGCCATTGACAGTTTTCGGTGGGAAACCCGGTACCTTATTAGTTACAAGTATACAGTATACAGGGTATGTCACAAAAATGTTGCAAATCAAAGTTAAACTTTTTTGAATGGAACACTCCGTATATTATTGATCCATTGGATTAGCCTTTCAAACCTGATTTCAAATAGGTACCTATAGATAGGTACTAGGTTTTTTAGGTTTCTTCATAATAGTTCGGAAGAAAATAAGAAAAAACTTGGTGGAATTGTTGCATTGTTATTGAAAAAGATGAAGTATAGAGAGCACCAGCAAAAAATAAAGGTAGAATTCAAGTAGAAAATCCATATTATTTCTTCGAAATGGGATATTCAGAGGCTGGACTATGAAGAATAAACCTAAAAAAACTAGTATACTTCATAATCAGGTTTGAGCGGCTAATCCAATGGGTCCAAAATATACGGGGTGTTTTATTTAAAAAAGTATAACTTTGGTTCGCCACACTTTTGTGAAGCACCCTGTTTACTTGTAACTAACTTCATTGCAAACTTTCTGATATTACCTACAACTTTCCTATTTGACATTTCTGGGGTATCCCTTCAAACAGGTGCGATAGGTGTGGGTGCAAAATATAGACAATCACCCGGTACGGTGGAAACTTTTTATGCCAACCTTAGTTAGGTAGCTTAGCTTATAGAATGAAATTCAGGATATTTGCTTCTTCAATGATTTCTCGAGACCTGCAATTATGTTCAAATCGGAACATTTAGCAGCCTTCTTCAGTACCACAAAAAAAAATCTATGTTTACCCTCTATAAAAGGTCCAAATCTTTTCTCATTAGCTTTTCAGAGATCGAGCTTCACTTAACTCTGAACGAATGAAGCATTTTTGTCTCAGATAAAAGGAATGCAAGTATGTAAGAATTAATTGGAGACACCCGAGTCGATAGTGAGTATTATCATTATGATTTTTGTAATTTTATATGTAGCTATACGTAGATAATTATTATACAAAATTTATCTAAATTTAGTTAATTAGAATACGTCTAAATTACCTACCTACTGCGACCTGCGTACCTACATTAGATGTGTACCAACCATATTTTTGAGTGTAATTTAGAATCAGGTAATAGGTACTTAATGAGACATTCTCTTTTATCTTGCACCATTTTAACACCTAATTATGAAATTTGAAGGTTGTAACGATTTTACCTGGATATTTAATATTTATAAGAAAAAAATCTCTATGGGAAAAACACATGTATAAGAATGGTCATTCATAATTCGCTGACTAAGGAAAAAAACGTGCTGCCAAACCTAATTATTGATGAAAATTAACGAAACTTTATATCTGGGCATAGTTTTTGAAGGGCTTCCTGCTGCCGTAAAAATATTTTTCATACATTAAATTATTCTATGATTTGGAGCCGAAAGGTTACCTCCCTACTAAAATGATGAAATTTTAATCCAGAAAGTATAAGTCCAAATGAGCTGGAATTAAACAGGGATTGTAGTCCTCTACTATGATAAGAATCGCTGAAAATTTCTATTTATAATACAAAAAAACTCATGAGTCTCAAAGTTTTTAAAAATCCAAATCACATTACATGATCAAATTTCAATTTTTTCTATGTCAAGATTTTGCATTTATATGGTCAGTTGGGACCCCTTAAACTTCATACACTAAATTATTTTGAGACTTGAAGCCGAAATCTATGAAAAAAGGCACTCAGAAAATTGAAAAATTCATAAATTTACCCCAATTACCCCAATAAGTCCAAATGAGGTAAAATTTTCAGGGATTGTAGTCCTCTAGCTACTGGGATAAGAATCGTTGAAAATTTCAGCTTTCTATCTATAATAGAAAAAAGTTATGAATTTTAAAGTTTTCTAAAATCTAAATCATAAGGTATAACTACCTTAGTAGGTATGTACTAAAATGATCATTTAGCACCCCCCAAACTCCATGCACTTAATTATTCTGAGATTTGAAATCAAAATCTATGGAAAAAGGCCGCCAGGAACTCGAAAAAATTGATAAAGTCACCCCAAATTCCTTAACGCGATTTTATTTCTGGAACTATAAGTTCAAATTAGCTGAAATTTTCAGGGATTTTAGTCCTCTTAGGATAAGAATCGCTTAAAATTTCAGCTGAAATTGCTTTAAAAAAAAAACTATATCGATGAATAGATATAAATTGATGAAAAAAAAATATATATATACCTTTGTACAAACTGGCAGGTGAATAATTAGGTTCAGCCTGCAGGGTAACATGTCTTGTAGCTAAAATAAAGGCTAAAGTAGCTAGAATTATGGCATCCAAGCAGCCTATAGCTGCCAGCAAATAGGCCCAACGCACTCCGCAATCTCCAAAAATATATTTATCAGATGAACCGCAGATTTTTTGAACTGAGTCGTGCGACCATCCGTAAGGGTAGAGGGCGCAGCCGGCAATCAAGGCAGCACCTAGAGAATTGTGTTTTAATATAATACCTATCTGTTTAGATGATATACCTGATACAGTCTGCATCCAGCCACAAACATAAAAAACTGTAGTCGAGTGGCAAAAAAAGAACAAAATCATTGCGATTATTGCCAAAATAGCCGCTACAGTTGCTGTGCCTACTAGGGCAGTGGCTGCTTGAAAAGCCCTATTGGGCATATTCATTATTTCGTCTAACCTACAAAAGAACTTTCTCTTTAGATTATTCGACCTTATTTGTTTAATTACGTTGAAATTACCTTCCAGAGCATATTTCTCCAGTTTCTTCGGCATTGCATACAGACCACAAACCAAATTTCCCAGGATTTTCACCTTCGACGTTACCAATCCATTCTGGAGTGATAAAAGCCACCACTAAGATGATGGCATAGCAAATGGTAAAAATCGCCCACAGGACGCCGATGGCTTTCGAATTCCTCACGTAATTTGTCGCGTAAATTTGTGAAGAATCTACATACTCGATTTTCGAACCCATATTATTTTACACTATACAATTACTATGAGTCCATTTTTTTTTGCTTTCTTGGAACGTAACACACTTTGAACTAAACAAAACGATTACCGAGACTCCCACCATACTGCATCCTTTATTGGGTTCCGCTTTTGTCATCGGCCAGATTCTGCCTACCTTCAAAACCAGTACCACCGTTGCCGCAGAAAGAATATAGCGGTTGCATTTTGGAATGGTACCGTCAGCAGAAGGTTGCGTAAGAGACCAAAGTATACCGTAGGCGAGTTTCGAAATTTCAAACAATTATAAAACAATGCAAATGAATTGCAATTGGCTGAGTGAGACACATTTTATGAATTTGTCAAGTTTTTTTCTTAAAGGTATTTGGAGTAATTGGTGTAACCAACGTAGTCAATTTCTTCCAAGAAATTATAATATTATAGAACAGAATTGAAAATATTTTATAAATACTGCCAGAACATCTATCTTGCGGATACCTCTCGTCACACTGGTACCTGTGTGGTGGTTTAAAGCTTTTGTTCGTAAATGGTAGGTAGGTACCTAATTTTAAATTGTGACAAAGTTTATACAGCTGATAACTCAAGCTGAAGTGAAGGATGTTGCAGTTCCTGGTTATGAAAGGCTGCAACTTTTTAACATCCTACTAACCAATGCTCCAGACCAGTCTGCATGAACAAAGTACCTATACCTAATCAGATTACAGTAACGAACTAAATGATACCAGAGATAAGGGCATCTAGGGACGACCGGAAACTAAGAAATAAAATAATAAACCGAACCAAACTTAAATGTGCCATATAAGCGTATCAACCATACAAATCCGCAGGCACAGATGGAATTTTTCAGCCTTATTACAAAGAGGGATAGACGTACGTACATATACTACCTTCACCACTCTGCACGTTAATTAGGGCCAGTCTTGCAATAGGCTACATACCAAGTAACTGGAGGAATGTAAGGGTAATTTTTATACCAAAACCTGGGCGAAAACCATATGCCTATGCCAAAAAACATAGACCTATGAGCCTCACGTCATTTCTCCTGGAAACAATGGAGAAATTAAGCGACAGATACATTAGGGACGATAAACTGAGCATTAGGGGCTTACACTAGAATCAATGTGCTTATGAAACAGGAAAATCATGCGAGCTGGCTTTACAGGAGCTAACTCGTAGAGCAGAAATAGCTATACACAATGAAGAAATAGCACTAGGATTCTTTGTAGACATAGAAGGCGCTACCAACACACATTCAGACCAGAAAACAACTACCTTTGACTTTAACAAACCCTTCAGAATTATAATTCCAGAAAGGGGTGCATGAAGAGGGCAGGAAGAAGGAGTTAAGAAGCCGCAAAGGATCGGTCTGGTACAATGATGGATCAAAGATGGAAACGGAAACAGGCACTGGAGCAGCGAGTGTATGATGCAACAACCAGGGAGGGCATTTTTATCAACCTGGGAGTGCAGACTACCGTTTTCCGAACAGAAGTAGGTAATAGCAATTACCACCTGTGCACAAATAATGTTGGAGAAAGGATCATACAAACACATTCACATCTTAACTGCTAATGCAGCACTAAAAGCACTTGATAAAGGAGAAATTGAGTCCTCAGGCATCGAGGAATGCCTCTTTACACTGTAACGCCTGGCACAACATAATAGACTTACCCTGGAATGGGTGCCTGGCCACGAAGGAACAGAGGGATATGAAGCAGCCGATAGATACGCCAAAAATGAGCGGAAGCGTTCCTAATCGGTCCTGAACCTACATGCGTACTTTCGTACCGCACGGCACGCAGAGCCATACGGAAAGACTAAATGAACAACACCATAAGAGTATTGGATGGAACTCTCAGGATTAAGGGAACCCAGCAGAAAAAAACGGACGACACTACTGCAACTGAACAGAACAAACCTTGGTATTGCAACGGGACTACTTACAGGTCAAGGTATCACTTGGATATTATGGGGCTAGGGACGCCTCGTTCAGAACTTGCGGACATGAGAAAGAAACTCCTGTTCACATAGTGTGCCAAGACTGTCACTAAGTGGGAAAAGATTTTCACACTTCGAGGAAACCTACCCAGATCCCGAAGAAATAGCTAATGCCCCCAGCAACAGTGTCCTGGAATTTATCAGAGACTGATGATGTAAACACCAAAGAGAGCACAATAAGCCAGGAGCTTCAGTGTAGTGGGGAAAGAACCACAGCGCATTGAGATAGAATAGAAGAATAGAATCTTGCTTCGTCAGCGATACATGCTGTCAAAATATACAGAACAATCCAGTACATATAAAAATTATTCTAAAAATCCCGGAAATCGATAAATTGGTAAATGCCGAGATGAATAAACTCAGGTGCGACATCATGATGGGATATCGAAACTGAAAAGGATATTTTTTCACCTTCCCTTGCTCTACTTCCAAACTCCACTCAGCTGGCCAGCTCATTCAGGAAGTTCAGGTGCAATCCGTAGAAGTGCAACGAAACCGTCTTGATTTAACCGGTCGTGGCAAACGAAAAACCGCGGGTCTATTTTCTCGAACCACACGAAGCGGGCGAAGTGTTTTTGGCAACCCATTGCGAAATTAAGAAAAATTGCTTGAAATGTTAATAAGAAATCTTTATTTCAATCAAATTACAGCTTCAATTGGGTTTGTCCATTGTCGCAATCCAAATCTAGTGTTTCCAAGGATTTTTCGGCAGACATCTTAGCTGGCCGCTTATTCTGTTTGAATCCCATTAGCTTCTGTAGGGCAGACACTGGCATTTCCAAAAACAAGCACAAGAGGGTGCCACCCAAATAAGCCAGAGTGACGTCTCTCAGAACTGCAAAAAACTGCAAAAAAAAGCATTCAGACTTTAGCTTTTTTCTCAAATGAAGCTAATAATTATTACAATCATGCTATCGTTAGCTGAAGCTGGATATCTTCTATAGCCCATTTGCCATCTGATAAACGCCACATGTATGATGTAGGTGCTATAAGTGAGCCTTCCTAGCACTTGAACCGGTTGGAATTCGCAAAACCATCTAGCAAACCCTAAAATGAATCCGATTAAATAACAATTGGGTTTATTGTTTATTATGTTATACTCACATCCAATTTTTTGCGTGAGCCCAAAAATCCCTATGCTGATGCCCAGAGCGAACAGATTTTTACCACACGACCAATAAAGGGCGCTTTTAAGCGGCGTTACCATGAAATTGGGATCGTAAAACACTACAGCTATCAGGACCACGAAAATGCACATTCCAAAGGACAACAACCACCATAGAATTACGTGTATCTAAAAACGCAAAATTACATTGGGTGAATGAACTTATATGTCCATAGCTTTATATTATGCCTATGTATAATTTCATATTTTACAAAATATTAAACTTATATAAGTACGAGTTTCATTATAAGGCTTTAAGATTTTAAGCTAGCAACGTTTTTTCAACTTTAAGCTACACACATGAATTATTATTTATTGTAGGCCATCTGTGAGGGCATTCAGCTAAAGTAAATGGGTAGGTTTACCTTATTTATATTGAGAGTAACATTTTTGTAGGAGAAAAATAAATATCCGAAAACCATTCCAACTGTGTAACCGAATATGTTCGAATAGGCCGAACTGTATAGTTGGTGCCAGTGGTCGAGCCTCAATAGATTTAAATTATAGAGAATCCTATTATAAAAAAAATTGTTAATATACGTATTTCTAGACTTAAAAATTTTAAGTCTTACTCTGGATATTGTCGTATGACGATATCGTAATTATTCACATAAGCAATCATTCCAGGGGTGAGGAATCCAACGAACAGTAAAGTTCCGAAAATATATTTCAGCGTTTTGGGGTAGTTCCAAATCACGTATAAAACCGCCACAGAAACCATAAATAGTTGCATGTCTGCTGCAATGTACCAAGTTTGATGTAAGCACTGCAAATAAAAATTAAATTAAAACTTTTATTTATTTTTCTAAACAAATATTTCACCATATTATTATTGTCGATATAGTTGTTAATAAACAAAACATTAGTCCACCAATTTTTGCGACAGTTCCTGTACTCTTGGCCAACGAACATGTCCCAATAAGGACCTTTAGATAAATGAACCAGCCATGTGCCATGAAATCCTACCATTAGAGCAACCGCAGGAACTAATCTACAATAATTTTTTTTTTTAGTCGTACTTATACTAGATCTACAATAATCCTTACCGAAGATATCTGTTCAAAATTGCCCAAAAAATGTACGTTATTTTGAAGTGTTTGCTTCCAGAAGTCATTTCGAAGAAATGATAGGATAGTAACCAGCCTGATATAACAAAAAATGTTTGGACTATATACCAACCATTAGCTATGAACATGTTCAAGACATGTTTGGTACTCTAAAATACAATGTATTTCAATTATTTCATATGATAACTTAATTGCAAATAAATCCTTACATGTTCAGTGTATCGAGGATTGGACACAGCTCCACCCAAAGTACCCATAATCGTGTGCGATAATACAACACAAATTATGTTGTAGAAACGAATCCCTTGTATAGATCTCAGTTTCCGATATTCCTGGTTCGTGTTGCTGGTGGATCTTAATCTGTGCCAATTTTTGGGTATGGAAAAGGCCGCTATGAAGTGACTGGTTTTGGTTTGTTCGTAGTAGTGCAATTTTTCGCCTTGCATTACGTAACGTTCGTAAATTGAAGCGGCAATCACAAATAATACGTAGAATAGTACCAGGGATCTGAAATATTCATTTGATTATTGTAAATTTAGTTTAGATTTGTATTGATCACAGCTTCTCTATTGGCAACACCTTTGTTTGCACAACGCAACGTCTGTATACCTGGGTCTCACCAGGTGGACAATATTCAAATTAAATCGATTAAAATTTGGTTGGAATTTGGAACATGATGGAGGTCATCTATCAGTCTTTGTAAAACTCTACCAGGTTCCGATTGTGGCTCAGACCATCAACTGCTTCTTTGTGAGCTGAGATATGTCCACGTTTTGTGAACTGGCAAATATCTTTAAAGCAGGCAGGTACGCGCGAAAAGATCTTAAACTTCAGGCAGATTATTGAAAAGGCCAGAGCAGCGTACTTTCCAGTCTATATCTGCTTTGTGGACTACCCTAAGGCATTTGACAACGTAAAGTGTCCTAAACTATGGGTGTTCCTCACCAGCTGATATTTCTCAACAGCGTCAACAGTTCTATGAGTCCAAGACAGCTCGAGTAAGAATTGACGGTAACATAGACGGTTGACACAGTGGTGTAACTCTTGGTGGAATGAAGACATCTAATTTAAGGTTTGCCGACGATACTACTCTTATTGCCTCTTGTCAGGGTGAATTATTGTTAACCTTGCTCAACATCTTAGAACAACATAGTGCAGCAACTCGTTTCAGTATCAACTACAATAAGACCAAGGTCATGATCGTTGATAGGGAACATGACAATCATCCTGAAATAACATCAGTAGGTCGTTGTCAGGTAGTCCAGAGTTTTGTATACCTCATCAGTTCTTTGATCGACAATTGACGTGTCTGCGAGATTGGAATCCGTCGGCGCATTCAACAATATCTGGCAAGACATTGTGACTATGATGATGAGTTTAGATATTCGCGTCCTTGGTTTAGAAGTAGTGAATGATGATAGTGAGGTTTAGGACTATGAATCAAACTCCTTGATTAAAGAATTCGCCGATACGTTTTGACCTCATATTAGGCCTTCTTCAGGGCTCTTCTTTAAATTAGGAGCCTTCGTAAACACTTGAATCTAAAAGCTTCACGTTGTACGTTGTACATAATAATAATAATAATGTGACATGATTAGAACAAAACAACACAAACACACCAAGCCTTAAACTACAAGACAAGGCATTATTAGTCGTCTTGTATAGTTTGTCTTGAAATGCGTTTTGTTTTAATGTAGAGTTTTTAGATTTAAGTATTTACGAGACCTTCTTATTCAAAGAAGAGGCATGAAGAAGGAAATTTCGAATTTCTGGAACTTTCATAGAATTTTTTAATCAAGGAGTTTCTCTCGCGCGCAGGGCCGGTTCCAGGACCCGTGCAGCCTGTGCCCCTGCACGCAGTGGCGCACCCAGAAAATATGTTTGGGGGGGGGGGCCCTACATAGGTTGTGGCTTGTGACTGAAAATTGAGGTGTCAGGGTGCCACGCCCAAAATTTGCCACATTTTTTTATACGTAAAAATACAGTTTTGGAGGAGCGGCCTGGGGGGGCCCTGTCCCGATGGCCCCCCCCTGGGTGCGCCACTGCCTGCACGGGGCGGCAAAATCGAAGGGCGGGAGAATTGGAATTGTTGGGTGAAAAAAGCATACTACAAATCACAATATCTTCATGATTGGACTCGGTGCCATAAATGGAAGCTCTGTAAATAAATAAAATAAAACATGTTCGGCTTTTTTCGAACTCTGATCAATTCCAAACAATTTGAGCACACAATTTCTATGGACTCAAACTACGCAACTAGTTCTGCGCAGTTCCAGGATGGTTCGCGAACAGTTCGGAAAACGAGACTCCGAAAACATCTATCGCTAGCCTCATTTCACGTTTCACGCGTCCGCTTAGCGATTTGCAGGTCATGTTTTGGTGTTATTTGGGTCGGTTTCTGAAATAGCGAGTCACTTCCGGGTTGGCTTCAACTCCAGGGAAAACGTGTCTGCAATGTGCAATGTTATGCTTAACAGCTTAACCCAGGAGTGACTTGCTATTGAGAAACCGGCCCTTTGAGAGTTGCCGCCAATTGTAGGTTACATTAAAATAATATAGTAATCAAATTATTTAAAAGGTGTTTCTTTTTTGAGAGTTCAGTTCAAATTGCAATCAATGCTGAATGAGAACTACACAGTAAGAAAGTAATCGGTAAGAGGGGCGGCAAAAATACCTTTTGCACAGGGCGCCGAAATGTCTGGAGCCAGCCCAGTTCTCTCGCAGTCCTAAAACTCCCTATCATCATCTACTGATTGTAAATTTAGGTTTCTTCAGCTGCTCTAAGAGTTTTTAGCTCTTTTATTCTATTGAATATCAGTTCCGTTTGGCAACCTCGCTTTTAAGTCCATGAATCATGAATAGGAAAAAATGCGTTTAAAAATGATTATGAATGACATTCTTCAATGTATCTAATAATTAGTAATGTAACATCAATCCACTAGACAAGTGATTAACTTACTAAACTTTTCTTAAATTCAAATAATTCCAAAGATGTGGTGGACACAACTTCTATATTTTTTAATGGATCATCTCTTAGGAACATCCTTTATAATTTCTAATAATCGAATACTTATACATATACCTACATATACAAGTTGTGTCCGCCACATCTTTCGCGTGCCCCTGTATATATAAAAATTATATTTTCTAGCTGTTCTCGTAAATCCCTATTAACTTTGTATTGGCATAGGGTTGAGCCTTCAATGTTAGATTGTAGATACTGCATCGAACCGAATTTAAGTAAGAGAACATAAGTGTCCAACAAATTTGCCGGGATTTCTACAATCGGGATTATAGATGTCGGGATAAGCTCGAAGGTCGGAACCATTCACGGGTCGGGTCATGAAGCTTAATTTTGGTGATATTGTGTCGAATTTTGTTGTTAAATATTTTGTTCTTATGAAGGTTATTTTTGACAGGATTAAAGCATGGTTAGTAACGTGATGCGATATTTCCTGGTCTGAAATTTTTGATGAAGTATTTTAGTAGGTATATTTCGGACACTATAGGTTATTCTTCCACCTTACTGAAGCCTACTTTCCGCTTGCATATAAGTGCGGTAGAGTTCACTTTGTCGTTGCGGTCGTTGGTAAAATTATTATAGAGCAATAATTGGAAATATTAAACTTACACTTACTACAGTTTCAAAAGCAGGTCATATCTAATGATTTATAGCACTTATTGGACCAAAATACAATAAGGTATATTGCTCGATGGAGCGAGAGAGCTCGAGAGAACTCGAGAAATTCTCGACGAGAGAATGCTTTCTCATGTAACTTTGTGTGGAGTGCCGAGATGCATTCAAATCAGCTCCAATAATGGTTAGGAAGGTCAAGTTGCTGCAGGTGACAGAAGGGATATTTGCTTTGTTGGGTCATGAGATAGAGGTTGATGTCATAGTAACGGTCATACGTGTGGGCAAGAAATCATCCAATGGAAATTTCGTGCCAATGAAAGTCATATGTAGAAATGCAGACATGGTTACAAAAGCTCTTCGCTGCACACAAAAACTGAGAGCTCAGTCCTCTATCTACAAAATTGGGCAAAATTCAACTAAAATTCCGCAAGCAGCTTACAAGGTTTCTCGCGAGAGGAGCTGCTGCGTAGTTACAATGTTGGTGAGGATATTATAGGTATTCAAATTTAAAAATGGGATGCCAGTTGTTGTTGCTGAAAGGGCAACCCAGGGAAACTACTGCCCCATTAATTGTTTACTGTCAAAATGTCAGTGGACTACGCACTAAGATAGACTTCTCAAAGCTATGTGTGAATAGTTCCTCCTACGATATCTCAGTCTTTGTAGAAAGTAATGTAAACTGTGACATTTTGGACAGTGAGCTGGAAATGCTCAATTTACAACATCTATCGATGTGATAGGTCAACCTTAAACGGGAAACTTATTTTTATAAGCAAAAAAATGTCATCTTATAAAATTCAAGTTTACCAAGATTGGAATTTATGTGGAACATGTATTTGTCTCATGTGTTCTCAAAGAATCTATATTTATTATAGCTGGGTCCCTAGCAGTCTTTCTTTGACGAGTAAAATTTAGGTTTGTCATTATTTTGCACAGCGTGCGGTAATGTGGTACTTACCTACTTACAATCGCACGCAAAATCGTGTAAGATACTATTATTCAAATCCGACATAAATAAAACCAAAACAAAAAGGAAATTCTCACCCATAAATAATATCATAAACATCCACGGCCAACTCGCTCTCGTTATTCTGACAAACCAAGTCGCTGACAGTACCATAAAGCCCCAACTCATTGTATTTTTTATTGTAGCAACTCTCCACTATGTTTCGTAAAGGTTTCCGATCATCGTAAGCGTCAGGGCAAGTTTTCGGAAGGCAAATTCCGTGCCTCAAAAAATCGTGCCTATAATTTTGGGGATTATCACTGACTTCCTTGATAATGTCCCAAACTAGACTAGCGTTCAAGGGTTGCAGGGCGAAGGTAAAAGTACAAAATGGCCCGTTAATCAACATACATTGATCAAAGTTGTCCAAATAAAACAACTCCGGCATCAATGAATACTGCAGGTCTGAAATCAATGCATGTTTTTTAATGGTTTTTAAAAGTTAATTCTTACCAGTAATTTCTTCATTGGCACCAATCACTAAAAAAACACTAAACAAGCATCCGAGAGTTAACATTTTGCACTCGAGGTAAATTTATTTTGAAAAAAGAGGTTGTTTTCAAGAACCCGCTTATGGCGATATAATGCATTTTTGCGCAATTTTCCATCACAATGTAGAACAATTGACCTCCTAAGACGTTACATTGTAGGTTACCACATTTTATTACCATCTGGTTTTTTCTACACATATGTAAATAAAATAGCTTGAAAAATACTAACAGACTACTAATGTGTATTTTTTGTTTTTATTATTTAAATAATAAGTTACAGTTTTATTTGCGACTTTGATTATTCGGTTTTTTCGCTATTTTCTTTCTCTTCAGTTTTCTGTTTCGTCTCCTTTGGGCCAAAAATAAATTTTTGCAGTTCGCTCACCGGCAATTCAAGAAACAGTGTTATAAATGTCGCTATTAGGTATACGATTGAAATATCTCCCAAAAATCCAACTAACTGAAAATTAAGTCACTGTAAATGTCGTTTTTCTTTATACATACCTATTAGGTACTATTCAAGGTTTAGAGTTGGTAGTAGTTTTTCTGTGAGAACATTACCTAGGTATTGGAATGTTTTTGAAATATCGATATTTTCCATTGATACTTTAGAAACAAATGGTCTAGTCTAGAACAGAATCTTATAGTGTTTTATTTGGAAACCCTAGGATGATTTTATTTTTGGATTTGAGTACACCGAACCCCCAGTTCATAAACCGTTTTTCTGATAAGTTCCAGAACATTATCCCATATCCAAATTCCAAAGTGTTTTTTCGAGCAACGAAAAATGGATAGAAGCACCGCGATATCCATTTTTCAAAAAAACTACCATCCCTAATTTGGATATAGTCTTGAGTGGGCTTACACTTACCATTTGAAAATCAGACAGATGCAAAGGATATCGAGCCAGTGACGGTCGAATCAGGATAATCGACATGTGAACCAAATAAGCGCTAAAAGTCAAACGGCCTAGAACGTACGTCGGTGGCCATTGGCACACGTGCACGCACAGCCCTGGTAAAAATAAAATTAACTTCAGAAAAATTAAGAAACTTGACTTACAGCCAACTCCTTGAGTAAATCCAATAATTCCAGTGCCAATGACAAAAGCAAAAAGCGGTCTGGACACGGCGACGTACACCGAGGCCCAAAATATATTTTTTTCAGTCGACGCGTTCAAAATAATGAATCCTGGAATTATGACAAAGGGAATCGCCACGCCCCAAGTCACGATCCACCACATTGCAATGCGAAACTGGAAATTACGTATTAGTACTTCCACCGAATTTTTCGATTCTTTCAAACCTTTGTACGAAAAAATGGTTTTTCGTCGAATTTGTGCTTGAAAAAGTAATACCCAAAAGCGGTACCCACGATCGGTCCTGCAGTATTTCCAATAGCTGAACCTAATTGATAGTGAAACTGGTTACTGGAAAGAAATTGATCCATGCCATAATACATTCTGAAACAAAATTTAATCGTTACTGTAAACGCCATCTATTTGGTATTAAAGATACGGTAAACGACAGACTTTGATATAGTTATTGGTTATTAATTTCGAAATGCCCGAGGACTAAAATAAAACGTTTGTTCAAGAAGAGAAAGTAAGAACGCGTCAACCAGGCAGTAATGTAGAGGCATTTGACTCTAGCTGTCCCACGGATTCGAAAAGTTGCTCGAATGAGTGAAATGCAAAGTGTCCGGACCCAAGCTCCAAAGAGGAACAAGTTGGTCGACCAGTTATCTGCCGACCAATAGAATAATAGAACGGTAAATTTATCTTGTAGATAATTACCAGCAAGTTTATCTGACTGAACCGGGCCTTAATTCATCTAAAGTCTGTTGGCGATTCCGCAATAGTCGAACAAGATATTTTACATGATGCTTACTCGGCTGTAGGATAACTCAAAGCGGTAAAATCATAATAATAATTCTGGAAAAATGTGCCAACCATGTTACACATCAAAGCTGCTCCGATGATATGATAAACATATTTCTCGTTGGACTTAATAAACCAAATGAAAAATAGAAGTCCCAAAAAGTACTGAGTGTCCAAAGCCAAGTACCATGTGATGGGCAAACACTGGAAAACAATTACGATTATGGCAGTAGAACTAGTCGAATGCGATTTGTACCATCCTATGAGTATCCACCCAGTTGTTTATGTACAACAAATTACTCCAACCATTGGCGCGACATTTTAGGTACTCTGCACCTATAAAATGGTACCAGTTCGGTCCGCTTCCTAAAAATCTGAGCAAAGTGGCGTGGAATAGAACTATCGTAAAAACGGTCGGAGTCAATCTGAAATCATGCACAAATTAGAAAAACACTTGAAAACAGTATAGATTATTGATTCCACCTAAAAAGTCTGTTGGCAAACACCATGAACACCATTTTGAAGCTCATGCGTTTGTCCTTTTGATATTCGAAAAGACCATTGGTCAACAGAAATGACGAAATTAAGAAAAACGTTGACACGCATAGCGGACCGCTGGCAAAAAACACTCGAGCGTATTTTTCAGGCATCTGAAATCAAATTGGTCTAACTAAACACTAAGTTCATTCAACTTTATAACCTGAAGAGACAATAAGACAAATATAATCTCCAAAATCTTTCAATAATCAAACAAATCTCTTTAGATTATAAGTCAAACTTTTTACCGTTTCCGTGTATCGAGTATTGGCCACGGGTGCAGCGACAAATCCCAAAATAGTGTGAGTCAAAATCACCAAAATGGTATTGTAAACTCTAATGCCCTGGATGCAGCGCAACTTTTCTATTTCCGGAGTATTTTTGATCGTTTTCAATCTGATCCAGTTTTTGGTTATCGAGCACGCCCCTAAAACCATGCCCATGGGGGTACTTAAACGTTTTCGGTACTCATCTGGAGTCTGGTATCGTGCAATGCCTTCATAAATTGTCGCATAAGCAACGAACAGTATGTAGCTGATAGCTAGAAACCTGAAAAATATATTTCTACCTGTTCACTTTTGCAGATTGCTTTAGGTACCTATATGAAACCAAATTCCAAATTCAAAAATATATCATGTTTATTTAGAAATATTGATATATAGGTTTTATATGCATTCGATCATTTTATTTTCGTCCAAAAGTCTCTGGTTTTATTTATGAATTTTACAAAAATAATGTCAAAGTTCTTACATTGCAAAAGCATCCACCCAATCAAACGGATACTTCGGCTCTATCGTGTCGCATTTGATGTCAGAAACGGTACCTTTCAAGCCGAACTTCTTGAATTTCTTGTTGTAGCACATTTCCAAAGACTTTTGCAGTTCTGGATCATCCTCCTGAGTTTTATTAATACCCGGGCACGTTTTTGGAACGCAAATCCACCGTCTCAGGTGATCGTGTCTGTAATTTACATGTATATCGCTAATGTTCTAAAAAAAAAAAACTGTTCTCAAAGCTTGTTTGGGTTAGTTAAAGCGCTAGCCTTGATATTTATCCAGACATCTGGAGGATATTCTTTATCCACAGGTTCAAGCTTATAAGTTAGGGAACAGTAGAATGCTTCGTCTTCGCGCATCATGCAATTGTCGTAGTTGTCTTGATAGAATAATTCTGGAATGCTTGCATATTGCTTGCCTATAAAAACTGATTTAATAAAAAGACATAATAAGACTAATAATTTACCTGTAATTTCTGCATTGATGGCAGTGATAATAGCAAAATAAATCAAAAACAAGATAAGCATTATATTTCTTTTCAACGTCAGGTTCAATTTAACAGTGTATAGTTTTTTATAGATGACTTTTCAGTTTAAATTTTTTAATTAAGTACCTACTGCTGATAATCTAAACATAATAGCAAAATTAGGTAATTTAATTGCATGTGTGTCGTGTAACAATTAAAAAACCCAATTGCATTGTAGTTTCATCGATACTTTGTGCTCTAATTGTTTTTATTTTTTCATTTAAGTTTTACAAGTAAACACCGTTTTAAGGTGCAAGTGCGTGGTCTTAAAACTTGCTATCAAGAGACGTGTAAAATCTTTGGCGGACTGATTAAAAGGTTCATCGTCTGTCATTGTGTGAAAACACAAATTTATGACGCATTTAGATATCGGATATCGAAATGCAATTTTGTTTATCAAGACCCGATGTCAAGATCTCAAAACTTTATTATACTGTTGTTGTTGCTGGTGCTGGTTTACAAACAGGATTACTCTTCCGATCCTAAATAGACATTATTTAAAACATTGACACAAAAGCACTGTTAGGGCACTTTGAATCGCTCAAATTAGGCTTGGCGGATTTTAAAAAATTTTCACTTACGAACTGAACAACTATCGGGATATCCACTCAACTCGCTTTTGTAATATTTTAGATAATTCCCTTCTGGAAATTTCTGCTACTCAATCGTTCCGTGATTCGCTAGATTGTTCCATCAAAGTTTAATTCCATTCACGAAATTTCTGCTGGACATCGGGTATTTACACGATGCGGGTCTCTCTGATCATGAGGCAGTTTTTACTCTTGTAGTGACGCGGAAATAAACCACCAAGAAAACAATTAAAGGTTCTGATTATCCTAAACAACTAAAGACCTAGGATCCAACTACCGAAAATTAATCAAGAATAACAAGGACTTACCAAACAACCATCCCAGGAGAGATCATCACTTAGACAGCACAAGCAGAAACTTCAATTAAAAATTATCTGAACATCGATATCCAGAAATTATTGAAGCCAATACCCTATATTGACTAATACATTGGAATGTGAATAAAGCAAAAGTTCATGGACCTTTTTTTTAAGTGCTTTCAACAATTAACATTCCAAAGGAGCCGAATAATTTCTAAAAGGATCAATAAATCATGCACGAGCCTATATGATGATACCCACTTAGCGACGCCCTTGATAATTAATTAAAAGGGGACCAAATACACTAATTGATCGGATGATTCAACCACGAAAAATCGAGGCCAGATAACATAAAGAAATTCAAGACAATGGAGGGACCAATGATATAAAAAGGCAACTTTGGCAGGAGAAAATCAGTGTTCGAGAAAACCAGTGTTCGAGAAAACCAGTGTTCGAGAAAGCGCGAGTAAACCGGCAGAACTACGGCGTGAAGGACCAGTGTCGGTTGAGTAATCAAGAAACAAGTAGTAATCGAGAATCGAGAGATCTGTGTCCAGAAAGTCAGAACTACGGCGTGAAAGAGTTTTCGAATTAACCGAGAGAAGAAGCACGACGTGAAATAACAGCGCGAAAATATTCGAGTTTTTTATCAAGTGTTCATAATTAAAGTAAATTCCTTCGACCAATAGGATTTCCATGTAATTAGGTGTGGCCAGCGGTAAATATATTATTGTTAAATGTAATTAGAGTTTTTTTATGTTCAGCCAGAAATTGTGAAGGCAAGAGTGTGAATCATATAAATTTTCCTTAACAGTTAATTGATGCTTATTAGAAATCGAACAATTTTATTGTAAGATTATTTATTACCGACGCCTGTTATTTAATAACAAGCTTTATTTATTTTAATAAAATAAACTTTATTTTAATTGACCACAATATTTCTGTGTTTTACTCACCACCCGCAAATAGGACCCATTTTAAACTGTGTCTCCACTCAGAAAGTGAAGTCACCGCTCGCCAATTTAACATCTTGCCAAGTTTCTGAATTTGGGGTATCACACTCTTTTAAGTGACTTTGAAATCAGAAGTTGAAGTCGACGGAAAAAGGGACGAATATTCAGTAATGAAAATTTCTTTGAATTTCGGCGACTATGTTGACATGTTATTTGGTTAGGTATTGCCGGTATTGGACAATTTCTGGAACCTCTGTTCTTGTTCCACTCTGTTCTGCTGAGCGTTTATGAGAAAGCATTTCCGTTGCGGTGGATTTCAACATGAAATAAGGAAAAAGAAAGCTTGGCTTACAGATGGTTTAAGGGTGTCCTCTGGAAATTTGCGTTGTCTTAATAATGTCCAAAAGTTTTTTTTCCGGCAATGACCATTTTATACCTTATTACAACATATAGGTACCGTTAATACTTATCGTCGACTAGTGAAAGCAGCTAAGGAAATTCACTACGCCAGCAGATTATCAGGGGCGAGGAATAGACAGAGGGAGTCCTAGTCAATCGTCAGGATAGTCTAGACAAGTTTATCGAAATTTTAAAAGCATTTCATATTACTTTTGGGCAGAAGGCTTTTTTTCCCCTATTTTGACACCACTTAATCCGAAAATGCCGGTTGCCCAAGATGGCTGCCAATATATGATGCCAAAACCAGACATCGGCGCTGTACAGCCTCCCTTTGACATAGAAATGCGTCCAAAATATCTAGTACCTATTACCCATTCGTCTTGAAACTAGTTGATGTTGATGGACCAATTGATATTGGTTTCCACCAGGCAAAAAGCAGCCCAAGTGCCGGCTCTGATCCAATAAAGGCAAGGCAGTGTTGTTAGATTCACGCGCCTACTGGACCGCCTCCTCGTTGGCTTTTATGCCCGTGTGATTCGGGATCTAAAAATAAGGGTGACCTGTTTGAGCTCACTGAGTAGTTCTAGGGTTGTCATACTGTCAAGCATTAGCCTGGAGTTGACCTTGTCTAAGCAAAGGGCTCAGAGTGGCAAAGACCAGAATAGCGTATCGCAGATTAGCAAATGCCGAACCTAATCTCGTATCGGACGACCGCGGTCGCAGAAGTACCTATGTGCGATATCACTCGTCCAATATGCTTTGCGTTTCAGCATTATTCGATTATAAAGTGCAAGTGCAAGACATTTCGTCTGTAGGTACCCCTGAAATGCCTACTCGAGCAAATTTAAATTTAAAACTGGGGTATAGCTTAATTTTGATTGAATTATGTATTGTTTTTCAACGATCTTTGGATTATGGCTTTTCTCCTGAAATGTGAAAATTTTCCCTCCTTCTTCCCAATATTCGTGTCATACCTATAGACTTTACCTCATACCAGAACAATGCAGATTCTTTAGCAAACGTTCAACTGCATCCAACCTAGCAGTCTACCAGAACTTCTTAAATACCTCCGTTAAGGCTGGACACAACGGTCGACTCTCCATTCCATTTACACAGATCTAGCCAAGGCTCTTGATAGCGTTTGTCACCTCCTTCTTTTTTAAAAAAAAACTCTTAGAAATTGGTATCTTTGGAAACTTTTGGCATGGATCAATTAAAACATATCTTGGAGATCGAACCCAGCGGGTAGAAGTGTGTATGTACTCCTCAAAAACCTCAAGGTCACTTCCGGTGTTCCCCAAGGATCACACATGGGACCTGTTTTTTTCCTGTTATTTTTTCAACGATATTTCCTCCTGTTTCCATTCTTCGCACTTTCTCCTATTTGCTGATGACTTGAAATTTTATAATGTCAGGAATGGAGTTTCCAATAATAATCCACTACTGCAACCAGATCTCGACAAATTTGCGTCTTGGTGTTCTGTGTGGGATGATTTTGGTGGGTGTACATACCTACTTTTTCACAGGAAAAATGAGATCGGTAACAATTCTAATAATAAAACTATACATAATTTTATTTTGGAAACTTTAGGTATCCCCTAAGCTAACATTTGAATCAACTAAACAGGTCTGAATAATATTTTATGGATTAGCTGTTATCAAACGCACGCTATTGAACCCACCAAATACGATTTCGCGCGTCCTTTATGCCTCTCCAATCGGCTCAATAGTTAATTCGGTAGCTTGCGACTTGCGATACGATACCATACGTCCGATACGGTCACCAGCACCCTGAACAATCTCAATGTTCTCTGGCATTCTGATGGACTTCTATTGGCCGGGCCGCACTAAACTAATCTTATCTAATTCTTTTGATTACTTAGAGCTCGCACATAATGTTGAATGACTTTAAATGTTCTTTCTTTCACAATTTTCTGTACTTTTACAAAGATTTGATTGAACACGTTTTTCCGAGGCAATAAAATAAAAGAAACTCTTCGCGAATTTTATCCGGTTAAACTCAAAACTGGACTGCAGGCTGAAGACTAACAACTGGACTGAACTTAAACTCAACTCAATTGCCCTCTACTTCTAAAACCGCTGTATTTATCTTCTTCGATTCCCCCCAAAATATTATTAATTACCAACTAAAATTGACAATGGGCGGTCGTTTGACCATCTATAATTTAATTCCATTGGTCGACCACTCGAGCTAGATATTATTCCAAAAACTAATTTCATCATTTTTAGAGGATGATGCAATCTGTTCGAAATTTTTGTCATTTTGTGTCCAATTTAATTAGGTGCTTAACCTTGTAATTGATCTCTTCCGGGTTTTTATTTATTTAAAATCGAATAATTATGTTGCAATTTCCTGGTTTATCGGGGTCAACAGATTTGGTTTAAGAATGTGAGGACAACACAAAGAAAGCCGAAAAACACGTGCGGCCATAAATCACCTATTTAATTACTTTGACCTCGCTTTTAATAATTTTATGAATTTGATTTAGATGATGACATCACTCTCATTTTCAGTTTATTGATACTGATTTCAAATACAGGAAATTCAGTTTTTGATTATTTGATTACATTTAATTTTTACAGTTGAGACATTGTAAATTACGGGTCTATTTTCCCGGGTCATTACATGTTTAATTGAGATAGTAGATACGATGCATATACAGGGTGTTAATAAATAATGGGATCAAACTTCTAGGATAAATAGTAGGTACTCATTAAAATAAGAAAAAAGTTAATAGAAACCTGGGTCCGCGAATGCTTAGTTTTCAAGATACAGGGTGTCA